TGATGTTGAGCAGAATCCCAGAAGGTCTCAGCAGACTGGAGCAATGGGCAGAATCCAAGGGAGAAATTTCACAGGAGCCCATATAAGGTCTCTGTGGCCTGGAGAACCCACATGTACCAGTCCAGGGAGGTAGGGAGTAGCATCCACTGGAGGGAGAGGAAGGTCCTGCCCTGCACTCTTCAGACCATACCTGGGGCCTTTGGTTCTGAAAAGAACCAAAAGAGAAAGATAAGAGTGGGGTCAGGCCAGGCATGGTGGCTCATGCCTGTAATCTGAGAACTTTGGGAGACCGAGGCGGGCGGATCATCTGAGGTTGGGAGTTCGAGGCCAGCCTGGCCAACATGGTGAAACCCTGTCTCTACTAAAAATACAAAAATCAGACTGGCCTGGCATGGTGGCAGGTACCTGTAGTCCCAGCTACTTGGGAGGCTGTGGCAGGAGAATTGCTTGAACCCAGGAGGTGGAGGTTGCAGTGAGCTGAGATGGTGCTGTTGCACTGCAGCCTAGGTGACACAGTGAGACTCTGTCTCAAAAAAAAAAAAAAAAACAAAAAAAACAAAGAGTGGGGAGCAGACTTGAAACTATTTCAGGCAGAGAATGGTAGAGGGAAAAATGAGGCTATTCTTTCTAAGAAGGGAGGACTAGAGGTATATCTTGGGGAGAGGGGAAGACCCAGGGTTTCAGGACCACAGCTCACAGTGGGGTCGACCTGCCCTGTGGGGCTGTGCAGGGCAGAGCTCCTAGCCAGGAGGCAGATTTTGACTCCTGCTGGGAAATCCCTTAAAAGCCACCCCAGGAATGAACTCCACGAGTGCCATCAAGGCTGGCCTGCAGGCCTTCCAGGGTTACCAAGGCTGCCTGGAACTGAATGGACCCTGTGTGTGTTCTTTTAGTCTAGGAAGACCAGCCAGGACTTTGGGGGCCAAAAGGCTAGCCTCAAGTGAGCTCAGAAATCCGCACCTGAATTGGGCCTTTTTAGAAGTTTTTTAATGGGCAATACATGTGTGTGGCAGAAAGGCACGGGAAACAGATCTAAACCGGAAGCCTCATTTTCTAGCCCCAACTTTCCTCTTGAGAGGCAGCTAGTGTTAGCTCGTTTCTTGTGTGTCATTCCAAGGAGGTCCGTGCACGTATGCACACAGGAACCATTTAGTTTGTATGTTTCTGGGTTTTTTATTAGCTTAGTACATATACAGTACTGCACCTCGATTAATAATGGTGGTCATTTCATCTTTCCATGTCCAGAGCTGGCTAATTCCAGAAATAGCTACAGAGTATCCATTGTTGGATCTCTTGTGGTTTATTTAACCAGCCTCATTGGTGGAGGTTTAGGAGTTGTCGCAGATAAGGCTGTAGTAAAATTCATGTCTGTATGACGTTTCACACAGGTGTGTGTCCAGGAAAGACACTTACAGAAGTAGAGTTGCTGAGTCAAAGGTGTGTCATTTTAAATTTAAAGTTTTGACATCTCTGTATTTTATTTATTTATTTATTTTGGAGACAGAGTCTCGCTCTGTCGCCCAGGCTGGAGTGCAGTGGCGCAATCTTGGCTCACTGCAACCTCCGCCTCCCAGGTTCCAGCCATTCTGCTGCCTCAGCCTCCCGAGTAACTGGTATTACAGGCACCTGCCACCACGCCCGGCTAATTTTTATATTTTTAGTAGAGACAGGGTTTCACCATGGCCAGGCTGGTCTCAAACTCCAGACCTCAGGTGATCTGCCCACCTCAGCCTCCCAAAGTGTTGGGATTACAGGCGTGAACCGCTGTGCCCGGCTGACATCTGTGTATTTTTAATTGGTGGTTTCCTCAGCACATTGGTGAAGGTAAACATCTTCAGCTCCTTTTCTGTAACTGCCAGATCTGTTCACATCATTTGACAGTTTCTCTAGTGGTTGTTGATCTTTTTCTTATTATATTAATAAAACTTTTTTCCTAGGTTTTTTTCTCATCTTTTTTTTTTTTTTTTTTAGTTTTTCTCTTTTGTTGAAATTTTATTTTCTGCCTTTGGTTCTTGGGGCTACTTCTTTCATTGCATTCTTTGGCCTGGCTGGAATTTACTTGGTGTAAGGAACAGGGTGGTATCCAACTTCTGTTTCTCGGGTTTTTTCCTTGGCCTGGCTGTGGATGGAGCTTTTGGCTTCATTTCTCTGAGAGGGGGCCAGGAGTGGAGAGTGTCTTTGGTGCTCAAAGGTCCTGCCTAGTGGTGTCTCCAGAGAGGAAGGTGACAGAGACACCATCCGGCTCTTCCTGCTCACCTGTAGGGCAGTTCCTCCTATAAGAAGGTTCCTGGCCCACTGGTCATTTACATCCCCCAGGTTACCTCCTCACCAGTGAAGTCGGAGGGTTTGGCAGAGTCTGGGCAAGAAGGATCGAGTTGGGGCCGGGACGGGGAGGGCTTTGTACTGACAGCCCACCCAGCCTCAGGGACGTGAGTCACACCCTCTCTGAAGGTGATGCCACCGGGGACCTCATCCACCACGTCCTTTGGGGCTCAGAGAGACTGAAAGCTGTGCAATGAGTAGGTTCTTGGTCCACACTACAGGAAGCCAATTCCAGCTCTCTCTCTCTCCAAAGCCATAGAGCTTTGCCTACAGTCACCCCTGGACCCACTGACCCAAACAAATGACTACACCCATAGGGCTGAAAACCAGACGCACCCTATGGGGACCGGTGGTACCTTAAGGAAATTCTTTAGCTTCCTTCAAAACAGCATGTAGGCCAGGCACGGTGGCTTATGCCTATAATCCCAGCACTCTGGGAGGCCGAGGCAGGCAGATCACTTGAGGCCAGGAGTTCAGACCAGCCTGGCCAACATGGCGAAACTCCATCTCTACTAAAAATACAAAAATTAGCCGGGATAGTTGCGCCCTCCTGTTGGAGGCTGAGGCACAAGAATCCCTTGATCCCAGGAGGCGGAGGTTACAGTGAGCTGAGATCGCACCACTGCACTCCAGCCTGGGTAATAGAGTGAGACCCTGTCTAAAATATAAAAATAGGCCAGGCGTGGTGGCTCATGCCTGTAATCTTAATACTTTGGGAAGCCAAGGCGGGCAGATCACCTGAGGTCAGGAGTTCGAGACCAGCCTGGCCAACATGGTGAAACCCCGTCTCTACTAAAAATACAATTAGCCAGGCGTGGTGGCGGGCATCTGTAATCCTAGCTGCTTGGGAGGCTGAGGCAGGGGAATCACTTGAACCCAGGAGGCAGAGGTTGCAGTGAGCCGAGATCATACCATTGCACTCAGCCTGGGTTACAGAGTGAGACCCTGTCTCAAAAAATAATAATAATAAAAACTTAAAAAGAACAGCATAGGCTGGGCACGGTGGCTCACACCTGTAATCCTAGCACTTTGGGAGGCCGGGGCCGGCGGATCACAAGGTCAGGAGATCAAGACCATCCTGGCTAACACAGTGAAACCATCTCTACTAAATACAAAAAATTAGCTGGGCATGGTGGTGGGCGCCTATAGTCCCAGCTACTCAGGAGGCTGAGGCCGGAGAATGGTGTGAACCCAGGAGGCGGAGCTTGCAGTGAGCTGAGATCGCGCCACTGCAGTCCAGCCTGGGTGACAGAGCAAGACTCTGCCTCAAAATAATAATAATAATAATAATAAAATTAAAATACTCAAAAAATAATAAAATAAAAAGAATAGCATATACCAGCCTGGGCAACATAGCAAGACTCTCAAAAAAAAAAAAATTAGCTGAGTATGGTGGCACATGTCTTTAGGAGGCTGAGGTGGGAGGATTACCTGAGCCCAGGAGGTCAAGGCTGCAGTGAGCCGTGATTGTGCCAGTGCACTCCAGCCTGGGTGACAGAGCAAGACCCTGTCTCAAACAAACAAAACCCAACATGCCCAGTTCTTCAAGATAGATATGAAGGGCAACTAGACTCTTATAGTTGGTTAGCATGGCCAGAACAGTGGTCTTCAAAGTGGGTTCCCTGGACCAGTAACATCATCTGGGAACTTGTTTAAAATGCAAAAACTGGTTCTACTGTCTCAGAAACTCTTGGTGGTGGAGCCCAGCAATGTGTTTTAACAATCCCATCAGGTGATTCTGATATGCATTGCAGCGTGAGACCCAGTGTGTAAAAAGAAACCACATACCCGAGACGAGCAGGTGTGATTGTTGAGGGAGGCTGCAGGTTTCCTCACATGCCTGCCTGCCATTGTGTGTCTCTGCAAACTGCAGCAGCAGCTGCTATTAGCAAGAGCAGGCAGGTTGCACAATGTGGCTGGTGTCCCTCCTTGCAATTTAACTGGAATAGGACATTGCCAAGGGATCCATGTTCAGGAGGACTTCATGAGAGCAGGTGTCTCACCTCGCACCTGTCCAGGCCTCTCTTCTTCCCTTACTGACAGATCTGCAAATCACTTATTTCTCTTAGCAGCCTCTGCTGCAGAAACAGGGTGGTGCTGCCTCATTTGCCCTGGTTCTTCACCCTGCATCAGATGAACCTCCTGAGGGCGCTTTTTGCTTCTAGGAATGATGATTCCATACCTTACCAGGTCCCCTTGCCTGATAAACCAGAGGTTGGAGAATAAAGAGAGACAGGGGCCTCTGACTTCCCCTGTTGCTGAAGGGATGGCAATAAGGATACAGGAAGACAAATAGACAGACTTGGAGCCCTGAGAATGAGGCAGTGCGTCTCTAGCTCTGAGGTGGGAGAACAGACCCAGAGGCACACTGCACCCTTGCCAGCAGAGGCAGGAGCAAAGCTTCAGTGAGAGGGACTTTCAAGGGAACAGCCTGGTGGGCAGTGAATCCTGTTACTGTGGGTGGGTCCAGGGGTGTGGCCGCATGCTGGTGGGTATTGTTTCTAGCTGGAGGCGCCAGCAGGGGACAGTGAACTGGGCTGCAACAAGCAGGGCAGATGCAGCAGCTTCTCCTGCAGGGTCCCAGTTGTGGGGGTGGCTGCCCTCTTGAGAAGCTGGCTCCCACAGGCCAGCAGGGGCTCCCAGGCAGAGCCTGAATGTGCTTTCCTCTTCTCTTCCAGATCTAAGCATGAGCTACCCTGGCTATCCCCCACCCCCAGGTGGCTACCCACCAGCTGCACCAGGTAAGAGGGTCTGGGGTAGGGAGGAGAGTGAATGCTGCCTCTGTACAGTGGCTGGGAGTGGAGAGGGGAGAACAGTAGTTTCCTCCCTCCCCTCCTCCCCTCACAGAACAGCCCAGCAGGGGAGGAGAGGACAACAGGAGCAGAGGGACAGCCAGCGGGGGCAGGGGCTGGAGAAGAGCATTGAGGCTGAGGCCATGGGAGGCCTGGGTTTGAAACTGGCTCCAGAAAACCCTGGCCCAGGCCTGGGGCTGGGTGTCTTGCCTTACTCTCTAGTAACAGTAGGCAAATGCTGTCACTTTGAGACTCAGTTTTCTTCTCTGCAAAATTGCTTTAGGGATTTCTCCCTCATTAGGTGGTCCTGGATACTGATGAGATAGGCAGGCAGAGCCTCTGACGTGGTGCCCTCCAAAGCATTGCTAGGTGATAGTTGTCCCTTGCCACCTCTCCTACCCTCTGTTCAAGGTGTATGGGTTTGCAGCAACAAGATCCCCCTTGCCAAGAGAGGAAGTGGAGGCAGATGCTAAGGGTCGAAGGTCACTCATTCCCTGTTTTCTGCAGGAGCTGTGGGTAGTCACATGGAGAAGTCATCTTCTCTGGCCCTGGCCCCTTTTGGTCCTCAAATGAGATTTGGTCCCCACTATGGGAAAGGAAATAAGAGAGCTCATGGGACCAAGGGGAGAAAAGGGCCATTCCAAGGCTGGTCATCTTCAGGGTACCTGAGCCGCTGCCCCTCGCCCCAGGGGACCCCCAGGCATCATTCATTTCTCTAGAGCTGAGGTCCTGTGGTTTGAGCACCACTGACCTGCAGGCCATTTACCTTCCCTCCCATTCAGCAGGTGAAGAACAAACTCAGACCGAGAGGTGGCTCAGCTGCTGTCCCAGAGCATGTTAGGGGCTGAACTGGGCCACTGCCCTCTGAACAAGCCCACCCCAGGTTGGCTGGCACTGGCCTCGGTTCCCTCTCTATAGTAGAAATCCTGCCACTGCCACCTTTGCTAGCACAGCTGAACAGCCTCTGAGTAGCAACAGAGAAGGAGGCAGGAGATTTAGGGAAGGTTCTTCCTGGAGGGTTTGGAGCCCTGGAGATGAAGAGCCGATCCGAAGCTGCCATGGACAGGAAAGCATCTAACAGGCCAGAGGCCCCATGGTAATGTCGAATGCCCATCGGGCACTCAGCTGAGCCCTGCAGGTGTTAACTCAGTCTTCGTCACAGCAGTCTAGGCATACACTCACTATGAGCCCGTTTGTCAGCTGAGGAAACAAGCCTAAGGAGGGTGAAAGCCTTGCCCCAGGGCACATACCGGTCCTGCTGGTTTCAGAGTGGGGTTTTCACCTCTGTTTCTTCCTGTCCTCTTGTGGGCTGGTATCTGTGTTTACCATGACCCAGCCCCGTCTCCCTCCAGCCTCTTATCCTGCTTCTCCCTGCCTTTTACAGACTTGTAATAGCCAACAGCCAAAGCCCCGCCCGCCAATGCCTTCGCATTACTGAAATCTCAGAGTTCCCTATGGTCACCTCTGTCATGGGCTCAGCGTGGTGTCCCACAACAGTCTGTCTTTGTCTGTCCTCCCGCTCCATGATGGTGAACTCGGGAGGGCAGAGCCTGCCTGGGCTTTCCCAACCTCCTTAATACCCCATAGAGGGTCTTGGGAGTGATTGGGGAACTCTACCTTCCTCCCTGGGAAGAGGGGAAGGTGTCCCCTCCTCTGCCAGTGGGCTAGGGGGAGACTTTCCCCCTGGTGTTTTCATGTGGTCTGTGGTGTCCCGAGGCTCGAGGCTGTACTGGGCCTCCCTTCCTGACCACCTGGGAGCTCGCATCTCTGCCTTTCCCCGTGTGGTTGGGGGACTGGTAGGGGCTAAATGGCTTGATGTTGCTTTCAGGTGGTGGTCCCTGGGGGGGTGCTGCCTACCCTCCTCCGCCCAGCATGCCTCCCATTGGGCTGGATAACGTGGCCAGCTATGCGGGACAGTTCAACCAGGACTACCTCTCGGGAATGGTGAGTCCAGCCTTCCTGCTGAGGCGGCCCTGGGGCCACACCTGCGTGGCCAGAGGAATCAAAGCTGCTGGCCTCTGGGGCTCCAGAATTGTCTGTGTGTGTGTTGCTGTGGCGTATAGTGTGTTGAGCTGTACGTCAGAACAGGGTTTTCATCAGGCTTCTGCCACCAGCTCTCTGCCCCTGTCTGGGTCTCACTTTTCCCATCTGTAAAATGAGGGGGGGGCGGAACCAGATGATCTCACAGGTCCGTTTTAGCCCTGCGGGGTTAGGGTCGGGAGGGTGGTGAGGGTATGTGCATGAGTGTGCATGCACGTGTTGTATATGAGTATCCACATTCATGTACCTGCGTGTGCGTGTGTGTACATGTGGAGGGCTCTTGTGGTTAGGCCTGGGTGGGTGTTTGGCAGGTGTCTTGGGCAGACATGCTACTTTTTAAATTTGTTGTTTTGCTTTTAAAATAATACATTTTATGATTTGAAAACAAACGTATGCTTAGGGGAAAGTATGCAACCAGTACACACCCTAATTTGTGCCAGGCCCAGTTCTAGGCACTGGGGATAAGTGAATAAAACAAACAAAAGTCTTGGCCGTGCTGCATTTATCATCTATGGGGAAAAGACAAGCAGTAACTTAAGTCAACGATGTGATGTTATTGAAAGTGTAGGTGCCATGGGAACAAGATGAGCAGGGTAAAGGGGTCAGGAGTGGGGGTGGGGTGATGGAGGGATAATGATTTTAAGTTGGCAGTAAGGTGGGTCTGGCTGAAAAGAGGATGTGTGAGCAAAGACCTGCAGCAGGGGAAGGAAGTGCTATATGGATGTCTAGGGAATGCCAGTGCCCTGAGGTGCCAGGGGGCCTGAGGTGCTTGGGGACAGGGAGGAGAGGCCAGTGTGGCTAAAGTGGAAAGGCGAGGGGATGAGATGAGAAATGAAGTCTGGGGGTCCAGCTCTTGCAGGGTGTAGGAGGCTATTCATCCTGAGGATTTAGGCTTTTATTCCTGGTGAGTGCAGATGCACCTGAACATGCCTGCCAGAGGTGTCTGTGGGTAGCAGGCTGATGTGACCAACCCTGAGGATGGGACCCACATGCCTTCTTGGGCAGTGAGCTCTTAACCTTCACCCAGGTGGTCTGGGATGGGAGGAGCAGCCATGTGGAGAGGGAAGGCATTTCCCCTGCAGAAGGGGGTGAGGATCTCTGGTTTGCATCCAGCCGCACTGTTTACTGGCTGTGTAGCTTTGAGCAAGTAAACTCATTCTGTGGTCTGTGAAATAGGTATAACGGTACTTCATGTTCCACAGGCGGAGACGCTGTGAGGACTGACTTGGCTTAGATATGAAAAAGCGTGGAGGGACAGAGCGCAATGGGGCCCATTGGCCTCATGCTCTGCTTTGTGTCCTTGCAGGCGGCCAACATGTCTGGGACGTTTGGAGGAGCCAACATGCCCAACCTGTACCCTGGGGCCCCTGGGGCTGGCTACCCACCAGTGCCCCCTGGGGGGTTCGGGCAGCCTCCCTCTGCCCAGCAGCCTGTTCCTCCCTATGGGATGTATCCACCCCCAGGAGGAAACCCATCCTCCGGGATGCCCTCATATCCGCCATACCCAGGGGCCCCTGTGCCAGGCCAGCCCATGCCACCCCCCGGACAGCAGCCCCCAGGGGCCTACCCTGGGCAGCCACCAGTGACCTACCCCGGTCAGCCTCCAGTGCCACTCCCTGGGCAGCAGCAGCAACCAGTGCCGAGCTACCCAGGATACCCAGGGTCTGGGACTGTCACCCCCGCTGTGCCCCCAACCCAGGTGAGTGTCAGCCCACTGCCTCCCTCGGTCCAGGCCTGGGCCCCAAAGACTGGAGACACATGGTCCAGTAGATGGGGAGACAGGGAAAGGCGCAGGCCTCCAGTTACAACTTCTTGTTTTAACAAAGAGTGTCGGCCGGGTACAGTGGCTCATGCCTGTAATCCTAGCACTTTGGGAAGCTGAGGTGGGCAGATCGCTTGAGCCTAGGAGTTCAAGACCAATCTGGGCAAAATGGTGAAACCCTGTCTCTACTAAAAATAGAGAAAAATTAGCTAGGCGTGGTGGTGTGTGCCTGTAGGCCCAGCTACTCAGGAGGCTGAGGTGGGAGGATCATCTGAGCCCAGGAGACAGAGGTTGCAGTGAGCCGGGATCATGCCACTGCACTCCAGCCTAGGCAACAGAGTAAGACCCTGTCTTTAAAACAAACAAACAAACAACAACAACAACGAGAAACAGAAAAACAAGGAGCGGCACCTTCTTGCAGACTCCCCACCTCTGGGTTGTGTTGCTTAAGGCCAAAGGGAGCTGCCCTGTTTCTCCCAGTGTGATGAGACACTCCACATGCGAGTTAGGTCAGAACACTCCTGGCGAGTACTCCTTATTCCTCTGTGTCATTCACTGCCTGGGCTGTGTGTTTTGTAAGAACTGCCCAGGCCACCTGTCTTAAGGCTTTGTGCCCAATAGCGTCTTCAGTCCCCTTGATATGCACCCCCCACAGACAGGTTTTGGAGGATTCTTAAAATTCCCTTTGGATAGGGAAAATGTTGGCAGTTCCTCCAGGGTTGATCTTGGCTCATTTTGGAGAACAGTTCATGTTTGCAGAGCCTAGAATTCGTTGTCATGGTTATATGGCCCAGCCAGCCAGCACAGGGGTAGTGGTATGTGCTTGATGACTATTTTTAGACAGAGGGTCTCCTTTCCTCCTTCCCTTCCATACCTACACGTTCCCCCACCCCGTGCCATCCTCCAGCCTCCCTCCCTTATCTTTTCCCTGAGCTGCCGCCATAATTGTGTTATAACCAGTTTGTACCAGCTCCCAGGAAGACAATCCACTGGGAGACAGTATAACCTGGAAAGTTCAAATTTGCTGGGCTGTGCAGCTGTCAGGGTCTGGAGGAAGTCCGGCAGGTGCTAGTCTAGAGAACAGTGCCAGGGAACCAGTGCTAGATCAAGAGGTCGTCAGGCTGCCATGCACAGTTGTGGAGTCTGAATACCTGCATCCGCTGGAGGGTCCACATGGGCTCGCCAGCCCAGTTAGGAGTACCCACGTGTGCTCACGTGCTGTGGAGACCATCATCTATGAGAGAGGCCACAGCCCCTGCTCCTGAGGCCTGCCCTTCATCGGGAGCCTGAGCCCCAGCCCTGGAGAACCTGGGCACTGGGCAGATTTACAGCGTCAGGTTTCAGCTATAGGTGGGCTCCCAGCCACTGGAGCCAGGAAAAAGCTTCTGTACTAGAACACAAGGCCACATAACAGTCAAGTTAGGCAGACTCGGCGTAGAGTCCTCTGCGTTGTTGACTGTGGGTTCCTTTAGATACTCCAACTCTTAGAGAAAGGGCTGTTCCCAGAGTCTAGGGGTGGAGCAGTCTTGAATCTGGGGAAGGTGGCATGCATATCATCTTACCTGTGACTGTTTGTCCGAGTAGTTTGGAAGCCGAGGCACCATCGCTGATGCTCCTGGCTTTGACCCCCTGCGAGATGCCGAGGTCCTGCGGAAGGCCATGAAAGGCTTTGGTAAGAGACCCTGGGTGGCTCAAATCCTACCCCCTGCCCCCTATTTCTCAGGCAGTTTCACAGTGGCTCTGTGGGCTAGGGTAGCTGGGGGACGCAGACCTGGCCCCAGTGGTGATAAAAGAGAAGATGGATGTGGGATTGTGGCTGGCATGCCCAGAACAGTTGAGGCACCCAGGCCAGGGAAGTCTCAGCTGCAGAGCATCTCATGACCCCTACCCGACCCACCCCTGCTGCCTCTTCCTCCAGGGACGGATGAGCAGGCCATCATTGACTGCCTGGGGAGTCGCTCCAACAAGCAGCGGCAGCAGATCCTCCTTTCCTTCAAGACGGCTTACGGCAAGGCGAGCTGCGGGGTGGGGGCGCGGGACAGTGAGGCGTGTCCTGAGCTGAGCACAGCCCTGCTCACCCCTGCTTTTCCTTGGGTGGGCCCGGGTCTCCCGGATGGACAGTAAGGAGCAGGAGGGCATTTCCTTCTGCCCACCCAGCGGGTGACATCCTTGGGAGGTGAAGGATGCCACAGGGTGCCAAGGTTTGCTGAGAGGCTCCAGACATCTAGCCCTGGGTTCTAGCCCTTGCTCTGCCACATCTCACTAAGGTTGTGGCCACATCATTTTCCTTCCCCTGCCCTCTTCATGACCACCCTGGGGGGTTTAGCTGATGTAAGAGCTTTGCAGGGAAAGGCTATGAGCACTGCCCAAGTACGAGGGGCATGTATGAGCGCATTTTGAACTTCTGGGGTTTTGAATCTTAGAAAGGTAAAAATTGGGTAAATATTGATTAGATTCATGTTCTAGCCCAGTGCTTCTCACACTTTAATGTGTCACCGATCCCCTGGGCATCTTGGTAAAATGTGGTCGCTGATTCGGGAGGTTTGGGGCAGGCCTGAGAGCAGGCTTTTCTCTCGGGCCCCTGGGGGATGTCCGTGCCCCTGCTCCTCGAATCTGGGATATGGCTCTTAGTAGTCACCTCCTGTTGATTTTTAAAATAGACTTTTGTTTGTTTGTTTGTTTGTTTGTTTGAACATCCAATCAGGATTTGATCAAAGATCTGAAATCTGAACTGTCAGGAAACTTTGAGAAGACAATCTTGGCTCTGATGAAGACCCCAGTCCTCTTTGATGTATATGAGATAAAGGAAGCCATCAAGGTGTGTGTGTGTGTGTGTGTGTGTGTGTTTTCATGCATTCATGCATGTGGACACACAGCCCAGAAGGAGGCCTGGACAGTGTGCTGTGTTCTAGCCCACTCATTAGCTGCTGTTATCAGTATGGCTCCCAGGCCTTCCTGGGTTAGAGTCCACACGCTGTAGAAAAGGGAGTTCCCTGTGATTTCCCCAAGAGGCGAGTGATGCACCCGTCATCATCAGGGAGCCTTAAGTCTCTCTCCATCTTAAAGAAATGGTGGAGCTAGGGTTTGAAGGTGGCAAGTCTGTGGTAAGAAGAGGGGTAGGAGGCCATGGTTGGTATCGTTCCCATTCTTTAGGACTCTGTTACTAGCAAATGACAGAAACACACTTCGGTTTAGGAAGAACAAAGGTGGAGAATCAGTTATGTGGGTAAAGCCAAGCTGCCTGGCATGGAGAGGGTCAGGCCAGACGTCTCTCTAGTCTCTGCCTCTCCTGAGCGCCTGCTCTTCTAGCAGTTTCTGTGCTTCTCCTGCCATGGCTGCTTCATGCGGGGTTGGGGAGGGGTGCCTGTCGACCACTCTCCGCGTACCTATGAGACCCAGCTCCAGAAGAAACCAGGAGGGTCTCCAAACGGGCAGGTTCTGACGGGCCCAACTTGGGCTCACTGTTTCCTCCAGTCCTGTGGGTTTTGACTGAGGGGCGGATCCTGTCCATTCTGTGCAGTCCCACAGCTCTGTGTGCACCCTGCGGCAAGGGCAGGCAGCGCAGTCCCGAAGCTCGGTGTGCATCCCGCGGGCGAGGGCAGCGCAGTCCCAGGCTTCAGTGTGCATCGCGGGCGAGGGCAGGCAGGCGCAGTCGCGAAGCCCTGTGCACCCAGCGAGCGAGCAGGCAGCGCAGTCCCGAAGCCCGGGTGTGCATCCGCGGGCGGGCAGGCAGGCGCGGTCGCGAAGCCCTGTGTGCCACCCGCGGGCGGGGCAGGCAGCGCAGTCCTGAAGCTCTGTGTGCACCCGCGGGCGGGGCAGGCAGCGCAGTCCCGAAGCCCTGTGTGCACCCAGCGAGGCGAGGCAGGCAGGCGCAGTCGCCGAAGCCCTGTGTGGAAGCCCTGTGTGCACCCCGCGGGCGAGGGCAGGCAGCGCAGTCCCGCAGGCCTGTGTGTATCCCAACCATTTACTGTGTGGCCTTGGACCAGCCAGTACCCCTCTCTGATGCTCAGTTTTCTGATCCATGGGAGTGCCCTTTGTGTGAACCCTACTCATCACCACTGCCACTGTCAGTGTGCTTGCCTGGGCTGTGGAGAGGAGCTGACTCCCTTAAGCCTGGGAGTAGCCAGAGGGTATGTCTGTGTGTCAGGGGCCTCTGTTGCTGGGGTTTGGCCCTGGGGTCCGGGCAGCAGCATGGCCCCACTCTCCTTCCTGGGTGCTGGTGAGGCTGCTGGAACAAGCGCATGGTTGGTTGTATTCTCTGCCCCTGCAGGGGGTTGGCACTGATGAAGCCTGCCTGATTGAGATCCTCGCTTCCCGCAGCAATGAACACATCCGAGAATTAAACAGAGCCTACAAAGCAGGTGACACCACTCCCTCTGCCCTCTGCCCTCTGCCCTCTGCCCTCTACCCTCTGCAGATCCCTGTGCTCTCGGGACTATGGCCTCACTCTCTCCTAGGGCCTCTTACTCCTTCCTGGCCTTCTTATCAACCTATCATCTGCCACCCCCAATACACTAGGCTTTGACCCAAGACCCAGCCCTTCCTTCTGTGTATACATGGTGCAAATGACTAAAGTAAGGGAGCGCCAGGGAAAACCTGGATGTGGTTTGGGCCGAGACTGACTAGAGCCCAGGTCAGCCTGGAGGTCACAGGCTTGTATATCCCCGGAGGGCCATGTGGGCTGTTTGCTCTCTCGAGCCTGAGCCGAGACCTCCGGCCTTATTCTCCCACTACCCACTGTTGGTAGTGTTTTGCAATGGGCGGCTCCATAAACAGAGCTACAGGGTGGACCTTCCTTGCTTCTCCCTTTCAGAATTCAAAAAGACCCTGGAAGAGGCCATTCGAAGCGACACATCAGGGCACTTCCAGCGGCTCCTCATCTCTCTCTCTCAGGTACTTTTCCCATAACAGGGCTCAGGGCCCCCAAGCCATAAAAGTCAAAGAGATGGGATCCCAGCAATGAGGAAAGGGAAAAGAAATGGGGAAGGAATGGACTTGACCATACACCTGCTTCCTTTCAGGGAAACCGTGATGAAAGCACAAATGTGGACATGTCCCTCGCCCAGAGAGATGCCCAGGTGAGTGTGATGGCCAAGCCCCTGAACTTCCTAAAGCAGGGTGTACCCCGCTTTCTTGCTTCCTGAGAGAAGTGCCCTAGGGTGGAAAGAACAATAGATAAGCAGTGGGTTGCAGATGCCGCGAGTTTCAGACGTGCTGAACTGCTCAACTGTATGACCTAGAGCAGGTCATCTGACCTCCTCGGCTTCACCTTCCCCACCTATGGGAAGGAACATGTGAGATAATTAGTATTTCAGCAGTTGATAGATCATGGTTTTGGATGTGGGATTTCGTGTGACTGCGTACTTTCCCCATGTTTAGTTGCACATACCATTGTTTGCAAAGGGGCAGAATTTGCGCTTGCCTATTAGTTTTTTGAGGGTTTGAGCCTAGAAACCAGCTGCCACATTAGTTGAGCAGCCTTAGAATTCTGTCGTTGTCCACCTTGTGAGTTGCAGACAAAAGGGGAAAAGTCCAAAAAGTCCAGGCATCGGAGCTACTCTCTCGACAAGTTTGGGTTTCCCACTAATGAATTTCAACCGTAGTGTTATGGCAGGGCAGAGCCATGACTTCCTGATGGGGCAGAGTTAGCCATACCTCTCTGTCCCCCTTCACTGCCCTTGTTATCCATCGCAGGGCATTCACCAGGAGCTGCCAGTGGTCTAATTATCTCTACCATCTGCGGGTTTGGAATGAGACCCCAAGGAGTGCCCCCTTGTTAGGACTGGAGGAGAGCTACTCCTCTGGACTGGTCCTTTTGCTTTCCAGATGAGGAAACTGAGGCTCAAAAAAGTTGAGCACTGTTCCTAACTGAAAACTAGAGGCAGAGCCCGGACAAGGGCCTATACCTCAGTCCTCCGTGCCCAGTTAGCACCTGCCTCTGCCCTGGTCTCCGCCCTGCTGCTCCTGCAGGGGTCTGCCTTAGTCAGTGTCTCTCTGGCTGGTGACATCCATTCCCATTCTGGGAGTCAGAGCTGGACACCCCTGGGGCTCAGGGCTCTGGCTTTTGCTCCAGTGAGAGTTTTGCGTGCCAGTTTTAGCGGGGCAGAAATTGTCTTGTGCTCTGCCTTCTCAGTCCAGACCTGCTTTGGCCTCGTCTTGACCTGTGGGATCTCAACCCCTGATTGCTGCTTTCTGCTCTTTTTCAGGGCTGCTACCTGAGGCCTAGCAGGCACTTTAGAGGCCATCTAGTTCAGAGGTTACAAATTGGCAAATACTTTAGGCTCAAACCTTCAGAAGTTTACCAGGCTCTCCTGGGTGACCTGGGCCTGGGGTCTGGGTGTGGCCTGTGCCGCATGTACATCTTCCTCTCTCTCCAGGAACTGTATGCAGCCGGGGAGAACCGCCTGGGAACAGACGAGTCCAAGTTCAATGCGGTTCTGTGCTCCCGGAGCCGGGCCCACCTGGTGGCAGGTAAGGCAGGCCAGGGTCCCTCTGAGGCCAGTTAGATGAGGGCAGTTGGGATTGTGAGGAAACAAAGCTATGGGAACACTTGGCGGTTCCTCCCTGCATGGGGCTTTCGCCTCCTCAAAAGAGCCCCCTGGTGGGGCTTTGAAAGACACTATCAGAGGGTTTCCTGAGTTCTGGCAAACATCCAGTTCTGGAGGTTCCACCGGTGTAGAAACCTGGTGTCTTCGTACGTGGGAATGTGGAATGTCAGAGTTGGGAGAGTCCTTTGGGAGCACCCAATCCAGTGTTTTCCAAAGCCTGGCATAAGAAGCAGTGATAGCAATAATACTGGGTGCCATTCATTTACTCATTCATTCAACAGCTGTAAATCTCACTTCCCTATGGGTCAGTCCGTCAGGTGGTGGAGCAGGTGTAGGGCCACAGTGGGAGGCAGGACACTGCAGAGTCTGTGTTCCATGGGCTGCACCTTCTCATTTGGGGAGACCGACAGTAAACAACAATGAAATAAAATCTGTATCAGATGGTAACTTCTGTAGAGGAAAACAGCTGGAAACAGGTAGGGAGTGATGCTAGGGTCCACCGGGAGGTGCTTGGGCCAGTCCCCACTGAGGTCAGGACATTTGATTTAAAAACCTAAAGGAGATGCAGGGGCAGAGGCCTGCCTGGGGCTCCCAGCACGACTGAGAACAGTGAAGGGGGACCATGTGGAGCAGTGGAGTGAGCGAGAGGAGTGGAAGGTGAGGGCAGAGAGGGGAGAGGGCCCTGCTGATGACTTCCTGGAGTTGGGTATTTATCCTGAGCAAAACAGGAAGCCAGTGGAGGGCCCTTAGCAGAGGATGCTATGCAGAATCCCTGGCTATGGTGCGGAGAATGGAGTGAAGGGTGCAAGGCCAAGTAGCGAAGCCTGTTGGGAGGCTGCTGCAGGGACCCAGGGAAGGAACGGTGGTGGTAGGGGCTTGTGGTGAGGAGGTGTCAGGTTCTGGTCATGTTTGCTGATGAATTGGGCATGTGGTGTGTGGCAGAGACAGGGGTTGAGGATTACACAAAGTTTCTTTAGGCCAAGCAGTGGGAGAATGGCCCTCAACTGAGACAGGGGAGCTGTAGGTAGAGCTGGCTTTAGGTGCCTACAGGGTGGAGCTGCAGGGAGGCTGCTGGGTTGCTGAGTGTGGAGGTCAGAAGAGGTCTGGCCTGGACGTGAAAGGTAAGGGAACTGTGAGTAATCAAAGGTATCTGAAGCTCTGGGACTGCAGGAGGTCCCCTCGGGAAGGAGACTGGGGAGCCCACCGGTGTGAGGAGACTAAGAAGGAGCCGCTAGGGAGGTAGGAGGACCCAGAGGAAGGGGGTCCTAGAGGCCAGTGTGAGGTGGCAGGCAAGGACAGAGGATGGTGACCACACTGAGCAACTGGTGGGCTGTGGCCAGGGCTGCTCCAGTGGGCAGTGAGGGTAAAAACCCAGCAACCGCTCTGTGCTGCACACGACAGGCGCTGTAGCTCTCCCCATTTGCAGCTGTGGAAGCAGGCACAGGGTGGTAGGGAAGTAGGGGTGCACAGCTAGTAACAACTGAGCTGGGATTTGAACCCAGGCTACCCAACCCCAGAGCACACTTTTTAACCTCTGCACTATCCTGTAATGGAGCCTGAGTGAATGCATTTTCATCTTAATCATTATTTCTTTTAATGAGTACAGAACATGTAAGTAGTGCATCAAGCCCATGGCTTCACAAACATTACTTAGGAGAAAAGAGTGGCTGATTTGAAGAAGATATTGAGACAGATACAGATAGAGCAGAAATCACGACTTTAATATGCAAACGGAAGCTGAGACTCAGGCTGGGGAAGGAGAGTTTTATGTCCTGGATCAGAGCTGGAGTCAGGACCCAGGTTTCCGTCATGCTGCCTGCCTCTCTAGGAGCCAGCCGTCCACTCCCATGGGTGCTTAGCATGTCCTAGATCGAGCTGGGCTGGCAGGGGTGGGCAGAAAAAGCCAGATTGGCTGGGGCATGCTGGGCCTCAGCTCCCAGGCAGGCTGAGGAAGACAGATGGATGCATGAATAAAGTCAAGGAATGGCAGAGACTGGAAGTGTGAGGGATTTGAGAAGAGGGGACACTGTGTTGGGGTGCTTGGGAGTGGGCCCTGGAGGGGTATTAAGGTGCGATTTGCTTAAGTAGATTGGCAGTCCTGAGAAAAGGACCACACAGGGAGGGACATCAGGTGGTGTGTGTGACTTGTGACGAAATCTCTGGCTTCCTTGAGAGCTAGGCAGGCCTGGGGATGTGCAGGGTGTGGGAGCAGAGTGGGAGGCGGGGGATTTGGGGGCAGAGGCCACCTCACATGAGTCCTCTGTTAGTCTGCTCATGCTGCCATGACAAAATACCACAGACTGGGTGGCTTAAGCAACAGACGTTCATTTTGTTGCAGTTCTGAAGGCCGGATATCCTAGAGTGGGGTGCCGGTTTCTCCATGGCCTCTTCGTGGCAATCAGTGTGCTCACAGGGTCTTCCCTCTGCATGTGCACATCCCTGAGATCTCTGTGTGTCCTAATCTCTTCTTCTAAGGAGACCAGGCGGATTGGATTAGGGTACACCCTAGCAGCATGTTTTAACTTAATTACCTCTTTAAAAATCTTATCTCCAACTACGGTTGTATTCTGAAGTCCTGGGAGTTGGGACTTCCACATATGAACTTTGAGGAGACACATTTAAGTTTATAAAATAAGCCTCTGTCATCCCCCTAGTTTTCAATGAGTACCAGAGAATGACAGGCCGGGACATTGAGAAGAGCATCTGCCGCGAGATGTCCGGGGATCTGGAGCAGGGCATGCTGGCCGTGGGTAAGTGTCTCGGGTTTGCCTGCCCACCGTCCAGGGGCTAACGTGTCGTAAGTGTTCAGGCTGCTTGCCTGTCCTCCAGCTGATGGGTGACATCGTGAAAGGACCACAGGATCCAAGATCACTCAGCCCAGAGTGTCGAGATGCTGGGAAGTCATGCCGCTTCCCGGGTCCCTGTGCAGTTGAACCCCTAGCTGTCCCGGAGGTGTCTTGTGTGTGTTTGTGGTGCAGCTCTGAAGAAGGGAACTGCAGCGTGGGTATTAGTGGGAGGGCATCCAGCTGCTCTCCTGGAGAAGTATGACTCATATCCTGCCAAGTTTCCTCTAAAAATACATCCCTGCAGGCAGTTGTCAGATGTTTGTGATGGAAACACGTGGAAAGATTTTTACTTGCAACAGCGAAACAGGCCCATGCTGAGGAAAGCTGGCTTGGCTCCGGGATGGTAGTGTGCCTCTTACATTGCCCGTGTCCTCTAGCAGGGCCCGGTGGGCTCCAGGTCCCTCCCACTGTGCAGAGTTGGGTCCCTGCCCTGAGGCCCTCACAACCCCTCTTTCTACTCACCTGGGAAAATCAGTCTGCCCCTTTTTTCATTATGCTTTTTTTTTTTTTTGGAGTTTTCTGGATGGGAGAGATGGAAAATCCTCATTTCCCTGCCTGCCCCCCACAGTAGGTCTCGTGACCTGGGAAGCCTAGGGAGATGCGCATTCCACTCGGCCACGGTTTCTCCGTGAGGGTCATGGCCTCTCCAGTCTGCCCCTCCTGCCTGAGCAGCAGCACAGTTCCTCATCACCACCTGCATTGCTTCCCTGTGCAGCTCCTCGCCCCACTAAGACCCCCACCCCTCTGACTCTTGGTCCTTTCATCACGGTGGTTGCCAGGAAAGAGGGTGGGTTGGTGTCCAGACTCTGCGTGTTTCTGTTCCAAAGAGCTGGAGCCAAGATCATGGGATAGTTGAGCCTGGAACAGAAGGAAGAGGAGAAAAGATGGATGCAGTGATGGATTTGACATCTGGGCCTCTAAGAGGACACTTGTAGACTCCATGCCCTGCTTGGGCTGAGAATTTTCTGCAGATCTGGTTATGCTGAGTTTCTCTCTTCTAGTGAAATGTCTCAAGAACACCCCAGCCTTCTTTGCGGAGAGGCTCAACAAAGCCATGAGGGTATGTAACTTCCATGTGCAGGTTGCGATACCTTAGCCCCGCCTGTGCCTAGGTCCAAGGGCTGAGGGTAGAAGGCCTGGGGAGAGCCAAATCTCAGCCGAGAGTTCTGAGGACTTGGGTAGGGAGGGGACTGGAGGACCCAGGGCGGGTGGGAAGGTGAGGAGGCCTGGTGCTCATGCTCTTGGGGGGACTCTCTTTAGGGGGCAGGAACAAAGGACCGGACCCTGATTCGCATCATGGTGTCTCGCAGTGAGACTGACCTCCTGGACATCAGATCGGAGTATAAGCGGATGTATGGCAAGTCGCTGTACCACGACATCTCGGTATGGCCCTGCTGCAGGCAGACTGGGCTCCCTTTTGGCATCCCAGTCTCCTGTGGAACCTCCCTCCTTGGAGTGGCCGTATGCTTGGCCTCTGTGCTACGTGTGGGCATCTTGTTTATGGACCTCAGACTTGCTCATCCCATTGCCCCTAAACTTCTGAGGGCAGGTGGGTCATGACCTTGCAGCATCAGAGAACACTCGGGACCTCCTCAACCTTGACCACAACCTTCAGCGTCCCAACCACCCTGTGATTCCTTGATCTGTCAGTGAGAACTCATGTCCCAAAGGCTCTGTGGAGCTCTGCTCTCACTCGCTGACAAAGCACTTCTTGCACTCAGCTTTATGGCATAGGCCACATAGTAAGGCTGTTCAGAGCGAAGGCCGTGGGGGTCACGCCACTTGGAGTCCAGCTTTTCTACTTGCTAACTGTGTGACCTTGAACAGCTTCCTTAAACCTCCCTGAACCCCAGCTCCATTGTCTTTAAGATGAGAAAATAATTGTTCCTTCCCAGGAATGTTGTGAGTATTGAGTGAGGCGATGCAGGTTAAGTGTCTGTTAAACACTAGCCACTGTTATATCGCTGTGTGACAGAGCCAGTCTGACAAAATACATTCTCGGCTACATGGTCTAACACTCAAATTCTGAACTCACGTGAGCCTTGAAATTGCACTGTGGGGACCACGTCTTCCCACCTTAGACTCCGTAGCATTTAATGATGGTGGGCATGTCATCACAGGAAGCTTACTTTGTTTCCTTGGCTGTATGAATGAAGCCGTTGGTAGAGAATTACTAATTCTAGGCTGGGCACAGTGGCTCACGCCTATAATCCCAGCACTTTGGGAGGCTGAGGCAGGTGGATCACTTGAGGTCAGGAGTTCGAGACCAGCCTGGCCAACATGGTAAAATCCTGTCTCTACTAAAAATACAAAATTAGTTGGGCGTGGTGACGCGTGCCTGTAATCCCAGCTACTCGGGAGGCTGTGGCAGGAGAGTTGTTTGAACCCGGGAGGCGGAGGTTGCAGTGAGCCAGGATCACGCCATTCCACTCCAGCCTTGGCGACAGAGTGAGACTTCATCTCAAAAAAAAAAAAAAAAAAGGTTAATAATTCTTTGCAGAGTATCTCCTGCATGCCAGCAGGCTGTGGACATCTGGAAGAAGCCACATGCCTTGCCCTCAAGTTGCTTAGGGTGGAAGGAAATGATTAGAAATGAGCCAAGCCGAGCCTGCACTCTTAGAGTCAGTGCAGTGGCCTCAGACAGAGGAGATCCCTGGGACTGGGAGGTCCGAGCCTTCCACTGGACAGTCATGTGTGAGGAGATTGCGTTTCCTAAGCAGGACACTGTGTTGCGTTACATTGGTAACCCCAATTTCAGGCAGCATAAATGCACTGGGAAAAGAGCAGTATTGGTTAGCCCTGGGAAGTGGTTTTTAGGATGATTATATATATATATTTTGTGGGTATTCATTTGACTTGGATAGTTGTGGTGAGTGCTGCTTTCCATCTTCTAATGGGGGCCTGGGGAAGGCTAAATTCCATTTTTTAAGGTCTGCAGGAGCTGCAGCAGGGGAAAATTCCCCAGGATGGGGCTTCCTACCTATAAGGGTGCTCAGGGCTGAAAATCAGGAGCCAGAAGGCTGAAAGTGACCGTACCTCCCTTAACGGATGTCTTCCTTGTTTCTGTGGCCAGGGAGATACTTCAGGGGATTACCGGAAGATTCTGCTGAAGATCTGTGGTGGCAATGACTGAACAGTGACTGGTGGCTCACTTCTGCCCACCTGCAGGCAACAGTGGTGCCAGGAAAAGGCCAAAAGAATGTCTGTTTCTAACAAATCCACAAATAGCCCCGAGATGCACCGTCCTAGAGCCTAGGCCTGTCCTCCACCCCTCCTGACCTGTATATTGTGCCACAGGACCTGGGTCAGTCTAGAACTCTCTCAGGATGCCTTTTCTACCCCAGCCCTCACAGCCTCTTGCTGCTGAAGTAGGTGTTTCATTTTTCTGACTCATGCAATCATTCCCCTTTGCCTGTGGCTAAGACTTAGCTTCATTTCGTCATTTAATTGTATATTTTTATTTGGAGGCATATTTTCTTTTCTTACGATCATTGCCAGACAGATGCATACAAGTCTGTTTGCTGCGTACACATTTCTGTTGAGGGCAACTGGTTGGGTGAAGTGCCGTGTCCCCGCTGAGGAGAGAAAGGGAAGCATGCCTGGGAGGGTAGCCGGTGCATCTGGTGAGTGTGTCACAAGCTTTGTTACTGCCAAACTTACTCCTTTTTAGAAAAAAAAAAAAAAAAAAGGGCGAGAAAGTCATTCGTTCCATCTTCCTTGCAGAAACCACGAGAACAAAGCCAGTTCCCTGTCAGTGACGGGGCTTCTTGTAATTTGTGGAATGTGCCTTAAACCTGAATGTCTGTAGCCAAAACTTGTTTCCACATTAAAAACCAGCCAGCTCTCGAATGTTCTGGAAGTGTCTTCCTGGTACCAACTTGTTTTCTTCTGCTTGATTGTGCTCTGTGGCTCAGAGTTCTCACCTTATCAGCCAGTGAAAATTCATGTAACCTTAGATAGAGATTTGTGTGCAGGAAACCCTGAGCATACAATAATTTGCGGGGACTCGTAAGGACATGGGAAGGGAGGTTCCCGAAATCCAGGCAGGGCACCCAGACACCTGAAAGGCAAAGGGATCTTGGTTGGTTGCAGGTGCAGTGAAGTCCCCTGAAGGTGTGGTAGGAAGAATGTAGTCCTTAACCCAGGTCCCAGGTGGGAAGAAAGGTGTGTGCTAATTCCTGGTGCCCCTCAACGGGGGCCAGAGAGAAGGATGGAGACAACCCAGAGAGTTACAAGACTAGCACCTCCCCTCAGGGTGCCTCCAGGCTGAAAGGGGCTCCTGGCTGTGGTCTCTGGGGACCCCGTGCCCCTTGGTTGGTGGTGTGGGGGAGAGAATCCATAAGAGAGTTTCTGAGAATTACAGTGTCATGTCCAGAAGCTAGAGCTTGCCTTGCATCAGGGGTCTCCACTCACTCCTTTTCCAACCTCTTGTGTTGAGGTTTAGAAAAGAGAATCGACTAGGCACTGTGGCTCATGCCTGTAATACAAGGACTTTGGGAGGCTGAGGTGAGAGGATCACTTGAGCTCAGGAGTTCAAGACTCGCCTGGCCAACATAGCGAGACCCCTGTCTCTAGTAAAAAATTTGGCCAGGCATGGTGGCTCACACCTGTAATCCCAGCACTTTGGGAGGCTGAGGCGGGCAGATCACCTGAGGTCAGAAGTTTGAGACCCAGCCTGGTCAACACGGTGAAACCCCGTCTGTATTAAAAATACAAATTAGCCAGGCATGGTAGCACATGGTGGCTGTAATCCCAGCTATTCAGGAGGCTGAGGCAGGAGAATCACTTGAATCCAGGAGGCAGAGGTGGTAGTGAGCTGAGATCACACCACTGCACTTTAGCCTGGGTGACTGCACTTTAGCCTGGGTGGACAGAGTGAGACTCCATCTCAAAAAAAAAAAAAAGTACCTGTCATTGTAGTGCATTCCATGTAGTCAGCTACTCTGGAGGCTGAGGCAGGAAGATCCCTAGAGCCCAAGAAACGGAGGCTCTAGTGAGCTGTGATTACACCACTGCACTCCAGCCTGGACAACAGAGTGAGACCCTGTCTCAAATGAGAAAAAAACAAAAAGAAATGACAGAATCCAGAGAGACTAGGCTAGATCAAGCCTGCTGGGTCCTGGCAGGAGCCCCAGGGAGTAGCTCATCTGCAGACATTTGCTTTAGTACTGCCCCTTAAACATAGAGGAAGAATGACATCCAAAGGGTGTGGAGCAGCCATGAGCTGAGAACTAGCCTGGTCTACCTGGGATTGATGGCAGGTCCTGGTCAACACGTCGGATCTGCATCACAGTCCATGCCTGAAGCCCGAGCTGAAGCCCCATCCCTGCTGTTCTCCCAAGAACTCCTCTGCTAGGGCAGGCCCCTTGCCCTTGGGTGCCAGGTGGGACCTGCCTGATGGGATGGGGTGCTTGCCATATACAACTTGCCATGAGCTCAGGGTGACCCTGGTGGCCTTCTGAGTTGTGATGGGGCCTAGAACCAATGTGCTCTGATGTGACCATATTCTGTGACGTTGCCTTGCCCTGTTGACTCCAAAGTTCCCAGCCTGGTGCCCAGCAGGCAATTTTGCACTTTACAGACACATTTACTTCGGTTTCCAAAGTGTTTTTAGACATTTGGATTTGTTGCCAACATTTAAACATTGAGAGAGTTCATATTTTTAAAAATCTGGAATTCTGGCTTCTCTTGAAAACTCAGAAATTCTGGCACCACGGGGCTTGCATTCCTGCATGGCTAGAGCTGAGTTGCAGCTGCTGCTTTAGGCCTGTACCCCTTATTTACCATAGGCTCCCTCTTGTGTTACACTGAGCCCATGTTACCCATTTGGCTCCTGCAGGCCTTTGGGTTTGAGACCCTGGTCTACATACTTGGGGACCACCTGTTGTAAGGTACATGGATGTGCTTTGGTCAAGAAATAGACCAAGGTGGACATCCGGGCCAGAGTGACTCAACGAGTTTAGGTCACAGGTGTGTACTCCACTTGTTATATAACCTGTTTGTGTAAGTTCATACTTGGCTCAAAGCCACTATTGTTTGGAAAAGGTATAACTGCCCTACTGACGCTGTACAGACGTTCTTGGGCTTGGATGGGCATGGCTGCACATGGCATGCACTGGCACCCAGAGAGTGAAGCTACTGACCACTGTAAGGGAGAGCGACCATCTGGCAGATAGACAGAGGGGAGCCAGGACACGGCTTGGCTTGTGCCCAGATGGGGAGTTAAACCGCTGACCCTGTAGCTGGCCTTGCAAGCCAGGGAGTGCACCTGCAAGCATGGCGGCTGCAGGAGCCGCAGAGCTGGCTGCTGAGAGGAGCCGCAGATCTGGAGAAGACAGCCAAGGTAAAGGTGGACAGTGTGAGAGCTGCTGGTGAGATAGCTGCTGAATAAAACTAACATTTTACCTGCGTACGGCCCGCCAAGTTTTCTTTCAGCTATCGCCCATCCACCCACTCCCCTCGAACCTCAGCATGGGCTGGAACCTGACCCTGGCTGTGACATTTGGCATACTGACACCTCTGTCTGTCCCAGTCCTGGTTCTCCCTGCCTTCCTGTTCCTCTCCCGGCCCTCATGGTCATTCCCAAGGGGTCCAACCCATGTTGAGTATGGGCTAGAGGACTTCATGAATGCCTCATGATCTTCCCAGAGGCAAAGGCACCTCCTGCCTTCCAAGGTCAGTGGGAGGCTGGGATCGACACTGTTTATTATGCTTACCACAAAAAAGATAGGGAGAAAGACTTGCAGCCTTACAGGTCATCTTTCTGGGATAGAACACAATGGGTTTTTCCTGCCTCCTGAATATGTTAGTCAAGGCCAGTCCATGCTACACATCTAATCTGACTTCTAAAATAGCAAGTGGAGGGTGAAGCACCGGATGAATTCAGCCCTGAGAGAAGTTTCAGCAGCCGTGGGGGCACTGGAAGAAACACTATTAACTAGTTTTGCACCTGAGACAAATGGCCTCGCTCGCCTCACCCTAGTCCTGGTGGCATTTGTCTCAGATGCAAAATTTAAGAAAGAAACCTTGGAGTGCTCACCCTGTGGCTGGGTAGATGATCCTGAAGTGGTGGTTTTCAAGCCTGAGTGTGTATCGCGATCATCAGAGGAGCTTGCTAAAGAGCAGTTCCTGGGGTCAGACCCTCACACATTTTGAGCAGGTGTGGGGGCTGGGAAACTGCATCTGTAACCCTCTGTAATCTAATGTTTATCTAAATACTACTGTGCTCACACAGAGAACTCCCCAAAAGTCGAGGTGTTCCTCCAGAGGGCAGATGAGCAGATGGCAGACTCTGGAATTCAGTCAGGTGATCAGAGATGAGATGAGGCACTCCTAGCTTTGGGAAGAGGGAGCTGAAAGATGAACCTTTGCAGGTGCCCACAGTCAAAGTGGTGGTTTAATGCCATGCCATGCCCATCTTCTGTTGGCCTTGGCAGGGAATTACAGTCCTAGCTTAGGACCTGGCCCCTTATTTCTGCTGTAGGCTCTTTCCTGCCCTGGCTGAGATGGAGTGGAATGAGACCTAGAAACAGATCAAGCTAAATACATGTCCTCAGACAGATAAAGGTTTACATTTTCACCCCCATCAAATCGGAAAGCTCTCTGCCTGTGTTTTTCTAAGGGACAGGGACATCATTACTCAGTCCCCAACCTGGCCTCATATAGGGTCCCCTGTCAGTAAAGGAGTCAGTTAAGCCCACCAGGTATACCAAGGACTCTTACCTTCAGCCCCTACTCCTTGGAAAGCTGCCTAATATTGGTGTTTAGCCTGAGCCTGACTCCTTCTCAACACTAAGAGCTGATGAAGTCCTGAAGAAGAAAGAGCTCTGACCTGAGAGTCAGGCATCCTTATTCTGATCTCACCTCAGCTACTGATTTGCTGTGACCCTGGAGAAGTCACTTCCTGTCTTTCTGACCCTATAAAATGAAGGGTAGACTAGAGGAGAGCTTCTACAACTTTAATGTGGTCAATGAAATGGAATAGAAAATTCCACAAGTCTGTCCTTCCACAAAAGCAGCAAATAGGTGGCAAAAACTCAAACAAATGTATGGGAACTCTGGAAACGAATTGAAGGTTTACAGCAATCAGGTGAATACCTAAGAATAAAAGCTGGATTTAGTAAGAGAGCTTTGTTGTGTTTTAGCTTACACTGGCCCCATCCCCAGCATGGCAGCAGCATCAAAAACAATATCCCTCATTCCCTGTATAGGTTCCTGTCACTGGAGGTAGCAGATTAGACCTTATTCTCAAGAAGTATGTTTATTTTGATTTGTCAGGTTGCTCCCTGAAGGACTGGTTCAAATGCCTTGCTTTTATTTTGCCTAATTTGGAACTCTCCCAAAGTGAAGATGGCAGCCTGGAAAGACATTTCAAGGTCAATGTATTAGTGGCTCATGCCCAGGGGAAGGAATAACATTTGGAGCAAACAGGAGACAAATTGAAAAGTTTCAGGAGGAAAGTCTAGGAAATAAGACTGTTTGAGGGAGAATAAGGACTTTAAAGAGCTTCCACATATTCCTGGGAATCTAGAAGGCCATACACATGCCTAAGGCTGGGCATGTGCTTGAAAAGACTTAAGAGGGCCCTATGCTCTCACCTCTGCCTGGCCTTCAGGCTCTGTGCACGCAGGAAGTGAAGGCTAAGGCATAGTTATAAACTGCATGGGTGAAAGTTGAAACGTGTGTCCCAACACAGAACACATCTGCAAATGCTAGGAGGCTTTTTGTTGTTCAAAAGAAATCTTTTGAATTACTAGCTGACCACTAAGCTAACCAGAGACTTAGTGGTCACACCTGACAAAGAATACAAACGAAAAAACTAAAAACATAGTTCAAGAAAATAACAGGTTGGGCACAGTGGCTCACATCGGTAATCCCAGCACTTTGGGAGACTGAGGCAGGTGGATCACTTGAACCCAGGACTTCGAGACCAGCCTGGGCAACATGGCAAAACCCCATCTCTACAAAAAATACTAAAAATTAGCAGGGCCTGGTGGCACACACCTATAGTCCCAGCTGCCCAGGAGGCTGAGGTGGGAGGATCACCTGAACCTGGGAGGTCCAGGCTGTAGTGAGCCATAATCCTGCCATTGCACTCCAGCCTAAGTGACACAGTGGAGGAATAATTTTATTTCCAAACTTGCTACATTATAAATAATATTCAAAATGTCCAGTTTTCAACAAAAATTATGAGATATGCAAAGAAAGTATGGCTCATACATAGAAAAAAAATCTGCTAATAGAAACTGAGGAAAGCTCAGACATTGGATTTAACAGGCAAGACTTTAAGTCAATTATTTTCAAAAAAGTCAAAGAGCTAAAGGAAACCAGGAGAATGATATCTCACCAATATTGATAAAGAGACTGGAATTATAAAAAGGAACCAAATAGAAGTTCTGGAATTGAGAAGTACACAAACGAAAAATTCACTGGAAGGGTTCCAAAAAAGACTTAAAAAGGCAGAAGAAAAAAATCAGCAAACTTCAAGATAGGTCAATTGAGATTACCTATTCTGAGGTGCAGAAAGAAAACAACAACAAGAAAGTTAACTGAGCCTAAGACACCTGCAGGATACCATCAAGTGTACCAATATACACCTAATAAGAATCACAGAAGAGTGAATGTGGAAGAAATTTTTAAAGAAACAATGGCTGAAAACATAATAAAAGACATTAATCTACACATACAAAGAGCTCAATGAATTACAATAGGGTCAACTCAAAGAGACACTCAGTGTGACATTGAGACACGTTATAATCATACTGTCCAAAGACAAAACAAATCCTGAAAGCAGAAAGAGCCACTTGACACGTACAAGAAATCTTCAATAAGATTAGTAGCCAATTTCTCATCCAACATTATGGAAGTGAGAAGGTGATGAGGTGACATATTCAGTGTGCTGAAAGGAAAATCTTGGGTGGGCTTGATACTTGTAGATATTCATCTGTGTCTGAGCAGTGAAGAGTTAGGTATTTATCGTAGTCTTCACAGTCTGTGCTTGTTTGTACCTGTCCTTCTTGGGAAGGCTTTCCAGATATTTGAATGGCTTGGGTGCTGTGATCTAAGCTGTATCTGCTTAAGGATTCACCCCAAGCCCAATAACATTTTGGTTTTTTTTTTTAGCCTCATAGAGGTACTGCCTTGATGGTCTTGAACAAGATTCAGGATTCTCTGGATTACCATACAGAGACTCTTGTTCTATTCCCTTACTGTCTCCCAAACAAATGGAGTCCCTTTCTCTGTTCTAAGCCACCTGAAGCTGCGGGTGAAAGGACATAAGCACCCCTGTGGCCACCACCACTAGGACTGCACTGGGTCAGACCTGAAAGTCAGCACAGCACTGGATCTCACCCAAGGCCTTCTATTACCACTCCCTGGCTACTGCCTATATCTGCTCAAGGCCCTGGGGCTCTACAATCGGCTGGTGGCAGAGCCAGCCAGGCTTGTATCCTTCCTTTCAGAACAGCAAGTTCCTCCAGGCCCCAGGTGGGCCCAGAGGTGCCATCTGGAAGCCAGCAACTAGAGTAAAAAATCTTAGAAGTCTACCTGGTGTTCTATTATATTGCAGGTGAGCTGGCACTGAATCCACAAGATGCAGTCCTTCCCTCTCTTCCTTCCCCTTTCCCAAGACAGAGGTGCCTCACTCCACGGCCACCCGCCACCACAGGCCACAGGGAGTGCTGCCAGACTGCTGCTGATGTTCCCTTAAGGCCCAGGGATTCTTCAACCAGCTTGTGGTGAATGCTGCCAGGCATGGGACTCACCCTCCAGGGCAGTGGGCTCCCCTCTGGCCCACGGTAGGTCCAAAAATGCCATCTAAGTCCTGGAATTGGCAGTCCCAAGAACCATGTGGTGCTTTACTCTCCTGTGGCTGAGCAGGTACCTAAGGTGTAAGACAAAGCTCACTTTACTTTTCCTTTCACTTTTCTCTAGCAGGAATCTTGCCTTTTAACCACCACAGCTGGGAATGTGCTGGCTGAATCTGAACCTGAAAGCAGCAAGACTCAGAGTCTCACCCAAGGCCCTCAACATAGTACCCGGGTATCTCTGCTGGTTATTCAGGGACTAAGGGCTCTTCAGTTAACAGGCAATGAATGCAGCCAAGACTGGGTCCTTTCCTTCGAGGCAGTGGGTTCCCTTCCAGCCCAGGGTGTGTCTAGAAATGTTGTCCAGGAACAAAAATCCTGAACAACATGCTAGCAGACTAAATCCAGCAGCATATTAAAAGCATTATACATCATGACCAAGTGAAATTTATCCCAGGAATGCAAGGGTCATTTAATATATGAAAATCAGGCTGAGTGCAGTGGCTCACTCACGCCTGTAATTCCAGCACTTTGGGAGGCCGAGGTGGGCAGATCACCTGAGGTCAGAAGTTCAAGACCAGCCTGGCCAACATGGCGAAACCCTGTCTCTACTAAAAATACAAAACTTAGCCGGGCATGGTGGCAGGTGCCTGCAATCCCAGTTACTTGGGAGGCTGAGGCAGGAGAATTGCTGGCACCTGGAAGGCAGAGGTTGCAGTGAGCTGAGATCGTGCCACTGCACTCCAGCCTGAACAACAGAGCAAGACTCCATCTCAGAAAAACAAACGAACAAAAAAGATGTAATGCATGTAATTAATAAAATGAAAGGGGAAAATCACACATGATCATCTCAACTGATGCAGAAAAAGCATTTGAAAAAACCCAACATCCTTTCGTGATTGAAAAAACACTCAACGAAATAAGACTAGAAGGAAAATGTCTCAACCTGCCAGAAGGCATCTATGAATAAGCCACAGCTAACATTGCAGGTGGGAATGTAAAATAGTACAGCTGCAATACAAAAGAGTTTGGTGGTTCTTCAAAAAGTTAAACATAACAGTTACCATGTGACCCAGCCATTTCATGCCTACATATAGACCCAAAACAAATTAAAAAACAAATATTCACACAAAAACTCATATATGGATGTTCATAGCAACATAATTCATAATAGCCAAAAAATGCAAACAACCCAAATGTCCATCAATTGATGAATAAATGAATAAAATGTGGGCCGGGTGCAGTGGCTCATGCCTGTAATCCCAGCACTTTGGGAGGCCGAGGCAGGCGGATCACCTGAGGTCAGGAGTTTGAGACCAGCCTGACCAACATGGTGAAACCCCGTCTCTACTAAAAATACAAGAATTAGCCAGCCGTGGTGGTGTGCACCTATAATTCCAGCTACTCGGGAGGCTGAGGCAGGAAATCGCCTGAACCTGGGAGGCAGAGGTTGCAGTGAGCTGAGATCATGCCACTGCACAACAGCATGGGTGACAGAGTGAGACTCTGTCTAAAAAAGAAAAAAAAAAAGAATAAAATGTGGTATATTCATATAATAAAACATTATTCATCCATAAGGAATGAAGTACAGATACATGCTACAATACAGATGGCCCTTGAAAACATTATGCTCAGAGAAAGAAGCCAGATACAGCTAGGCTACATATTGTATGATTCTATTTACAGTAGTACCCCCTTACCTTCAGAGGATAAATTTCAATACCCCTGGTGGATGCCTGAAACCACAATAGTCTCTAATCCTATTATACTATGTTTTTTCCTATGCATGCATACCTATGAAGTTTAATTTATAAATGAGGCACCATAAGAGATTAGCAACAATAGCTAAGAATAAAATAGAACAATTAGTACAATATGCCAGCTTCCATGAAGGGAGAGTTGCATAAAAACAACCACCATATGCCAGCAGCTCTGCTCTTCCACTTTGGGTCTTGATTAAGAGAAAGAAGGGTTGCTGGAACACAAGCACTGTGATACTATGGCCATTGATCTGATAACTGAGAAGGCTGCTAAGTGACTAACAGGCAGGAAGTGTAGACAGCGTGGACCATGCTGGACAAAGGGAGCACTGACGTCCAGAGTGGGATGAAGTGCGATGGCGAGAGATTTCATCAGGCCACTTAGAATGATGTGCAATTGAAAACTCATATATTGTTTATTTCTGGAGTTTAATATTTTAGGACCATGGTTGACTGCAGGTAACTGAAACCACGGAAGGTGAAACCACAGATAAAGCGGGACTACTGTATTTAAAATGTCCAGAATAGGCAAGTTCATGAAGGCAGAGACCAGTGGTTTCCAGGGGAGTCGGGAGAGCAGGAATGGGATGTGACTGCTTAAGAGATACAGAGTTTCTTTCTAGAGGGAGAACAACATTCTGGAACTGGTGGTGATGACTGCACAACTTCTGAATGTACTGGAAACCACTGCATTTGTACAATTTATTTATTTATTTTTAATTAATTTATTTTTTTTTTTTGAGACAAGGTCTCTGTCACCCAGGCTGGAGTGCAGTGGCATGATCATGGCTCACTGCAACCTTGACCTACAGGGCTCAGGTGATCCTCCCACCTCAGCCTCCTAAGTAGCTAGGACTACAGGCACGCGCCACCATGCCCGGCTAATTTTTGCAATTTTTGTAGGGATGGGGTTTCACCATGTTGCCCAGGCTGGTCTCAAACTTCTGGGCTCAAGTGATCCTCCTACCTTGGCCTCCTAAAGTGCTAGGATTATAGGCGTAAGCCACCACCTCCAGCCTTGTACAATTTAAAATAGTTAAAATGATGAATTTTACATTGAATTTCACTTCATAGGAAATTTTTTAAAAACCAATAACAAACCACTTTAACGGACACATAAATTCCCTGGGGGTCTCATTGTAATGCAGATTTGGGAGTCTGGGTGGGTCCTGAGACCCTGATCCCCTTGCTTCTCACCTATGGCCACATTTTGAGAAGCAAGGCCACTCGAAGGGCCCCCACCTGTGTGAGTCAACCCCTGCTCCATCTGCCTCTGTAAATAAGGAGGGCTAAAGCAAAGATGGCGGGTGTGGGCGTGTCCCCAGGTCTGAGCCTGAAGGGGGTTGCAGGCCTCCTCCAGGCATGAAAGTGGAGGGAGAGGGGGCTATAGTTAAACGGGTTACTCTGTCAGCAGACACAGAGGAGACCAAAAGAATAGTTTTAATTTCACATGAAGCTGAGGAAGGACGGCGAGAGGACAGGGCTGGCTCTGTGGGTGCTGCCTGGCAGGTGCACCACCTCCAGCTGCTGGGCTCCAGCTCCGGGGCTCAGAAGCCATCTGAAAGAAAGCAGAGGCCTCCAGTGAGCAAGCTGGGGCGCTGCAGGGTACCCGCCCCCGGGGTGTCCAGCAGTTCTTTCCCTTCCCTCCCTAGCCCCCGGGAACTCCTGTGCGCGGGACACAGGGATCAAGGAGACCGCAGAGTGCAACCCCATCCCTGCCTGATCAGTCGGGGTTACCCGTCTTCCCGAGAGGGTTTTGGGGTGGAACAGGAGTGGCTCCTCAGGGGGAAATGGAAGGAGCCAAGGAGCTCCAGTCGTGAGAAGGCCAATGAAGGAGGCAGTTTCTCCGCGCCGGGGTTGTGCTGAGATGGCATCTAGGGCTGGCTCTTCCAGAACCTCATTTGACACTGGGCGGCAGCGACCGGGTGGCGGGGGCCGGGGTCGGGGAGCAGGGATGATGTCGTCCCTCTTCCGACCCCAGGCAGCGCTGGGGCCCTCCCTGCCTGCCAGGCTACACCTGTGCGGTGGAGCAGCCGTCCCCGTCTCGCCTGCCCAGCCCCAGAGGACAGCAGCCCAGAGGCGGTCCTCTGCCACCTGCACTGCTCACCTTCTCCGAGGAGGTCGGGAGCGGGGCTGAAGGGTCCCGGGGGCAGGTTCCAGGCCAGCTCCTCCAGCAGGCCCAGCAGGCCTTTCACCTCTGTCCCCAGGTGATCCACGGTCTTCTCTACCATCTAGAGTGGGAAAGGGGGTAAAGTCGAGGACAGGAGTGGTTCCACGTTCTGCTTCATCAGCCAGGTCCTAAGAGCAGCTGGCGATCCAGTGCAGTGCAGTGAGAAAGGACTAGGCTCTGCGGGACCTGGGTTTCCTTCACTCAGGCTCCACCCCTACCTGCCTCAGTTTCCCCAGATGACAATATCCTAGGGGTCTCGCTCTCTAAGGTTCCTTCCTTTTTGGCACTCAGTCACAGGTTTGGATGAAGCGCCTGTGGAATACTCTCCCTTTTGGCCTTTGCAGGCTGGAGCTCACATTTCTTTTGTTGTTCTGCCCCCTGGTGGTGTCTCTGCCAAATGACAAGTTTAGGATTCTGAAATTTACTCAGGGTTCTTAATGATTTTTCCCTGTGTGTGCCATGGATACCACTGGCAGTGTGGTGAAGCCTACAGACCTCTTCTCAGAATAATGCCTTAAATGCGAAAAATAAAACATATAGAATTATCAAGGGCACCAATTGCATTAAAATATTCAAGTATTAGGCCGGGCGTGGTGGCTCATGCCTGTAATCCCAGCACTTTCGGAGGCCGAGGCAGGCAGATCACCAGAGGTCAGGAGTTTGAGACTAGCCTAGTCAACATGGTGAAACCCTGCCTCTACTAAAAATACAAAAAGAAGCCAGGTGTGGTAGTGCCCGTCTGTAGTCCCAGCTACTCGGGAGGCTGAGGCAAGAGAATCACTTGAACCGGGAGGTGGAGGTTGCAGTGAGCTGAGACCACACCATTGCACTCCAGCCTGGGAGGAGTGAGACTCTACCTCAAAAAAAAAAAAAAAAAAAAAAAAAATTAAACTTTTTGGCCCAGCATGGTGGCTCACACCTGTAATCCCAGCACTTTGGGAGGCTGAGGTGAGATCACTTGAGGTCAGGAGTTTGAGACCAGCCTGGTCAACATGGTGAAACCCCATCTCTACCAAAAGTACAAAAAATTAGCTGGGCATGGTAAGTACAAAAAATTAGCTGGGCATGGTGGTGCATGCCTGTAGTCCCAGCTACTCGGGAGGTTGAGGCACAAGAATCACTGGAACCTGGGAGGCAGGGGATGCAGTGAGCCAAGACTGTACCATGCGCTCCAGGCTGGGTGACAGAGACTCTGTCAAAAAAAAATTAATTTTTTGAGTAATATATGTATTGGCCGGGCAAAGTGACTCATGCCTGTAATCCCAGCACCTTGGGAGGCCGAGGTGGGTGAATGGCTTGAGCTCAGGAGTTCAAGACCAGCCTGGGCAGCACAGCAAAACCTTGCCTCTACAAAAAAATACAAAAATTAGTCAGGCATGGTGGCACATGTGCCTGTAGTCCCAGCTACTTGGAAGACTGAGGTGGGAGGATCGCTTGAGCCTGGGAAATGGAAGTTGCAGAGAACCGAGACTGCACCACGGCACTCCAGCCTGCTAGACAGAGAGAGACCCTGCCTCAAAAAAAAAGAAAAATGTATTTATTAACTCACTAAATCACATGATTTAACATCAGGCCTAACCACAACTGAAATTTTGACACAAGGGTAAAAATTATATGTTGAGATATTCATAGCTAGAGGCAGATGAAATTATCTGGATTTCTATTGATGACAAAGTTATAGTACTGTTAATACCACAGCTTGCTGTCTGTATTTATGATTAATGGGACACTCAATTTCAGTTAAAGGCTTGTGACAATAAAGATGTAAACGTTTCCCCACACAAGTTAGGAATCGTGGCTATATAACAAAACAGTGACTGAATTTCCACCTTCCCATCCAGTAACGATGTTGAAATATCCGGGTGGGGATAAGCAAGGTCTTAGGAGAGGCAGACTCCATTGGGGGCTGGGCAGCCTGGCAACCCAGATGGGAGGGTGATGTTGGACAAGGTGGTCACAGGGCAGGATTGGCCTGGATGTCCTCACATTCCAAAGCAAGCCTGCATCTGCCCATAAAAACACCATTCTAGAAGGTGGTCCTGAGCCCGCATGCCCTTCCAAATCACCCTGTTACCTCCTCCATGACATCTAGACGGCGTTGCACAGCCATATGTCTGTCACACACTGTGCTCTGAGCTGAATCTCCTCGTGGAGGGCTGAAGGGTTCTGCAGCTGTGGGAAAATGAGTCTTTTCACTGTGGGACCCTTAGTTTTCCATAATGCCAGAGACTCCTGTAAACACTGGGCTCGAGTGGGGTGAGTCCTCAAGGCAAACGCAAGAGCAAGCAAAGGAAGGCCCAGGTGGGGGTCAGTGTGCGAGTGTCAGCCATCTCAATCCCACCAGTCTCTACAGTCACAGCCACCCACAGATCCAGATGAACTTCCTCAAGGAGGTGAAGACCAGGGAGGAAGGGAGGACGGGCTTCAGCCAGGGAGCTGCAATGATGGAGGGGTCTGAAAGAGCATGGCTCACTGTGTAAGCCCTGCAGGCAGCCTGCAGTGGCTGGAGATACAGGGTGGGCGGGAGAGAGACTGGAGAGGGAAGTCCTGGAAATGAAGCCAAGGGGGTAGAGTTTTAACCCAGGGGCTTTAATAAACCAGTTCTGATGCTTGTTTTGTTTGTTTGCTTGTTTGTTTGTTCTGAGACAGAGTCTTGCTCTGTCGCCCAGGCTGAAGTGCAATGGTGCGATCTCGGCTCACTCCAACCTCCGCCTCCTGGGTTCAAGCGATTCTCCTGCCTCAGCCTCCCAAGTAGCTGGGATTACAAGTCCTGCCACCACGCCCTGCTAATTTTTGTATTTTTAGTAGAGACAGAGTTTCACCATGTAGGTCAGGCTGATCTCAAACTCCTGACCTCAGGTGATCCGCCCGCCTCGGCCTTCCAAAGTGCTGGGATTACAGGTGTGAGCCACCATGCCAGGCCAAGAGGGTTTATTTTAACAGAAAAGTCACAGGGTCAAACATGAATTTTTAAAATAGAGGGAATAGATTGCAGGGAGATGCCTTTGAAGGCAGGAGGTTACTGCAGCAATCAGGATAAGAGGGGTGAAGGAGAAGTGATAAGCAGAAGCAGGAGCTGTAGGAATAGTGGGGAAGGAAATGAGAGGAGATATTTTAGTACCAGCATTGACGCTGGAAACCCATTAGTAACAGTTGGCACGTGATCAGCGCTTACCATGCACCGTGTAGGGTGCTAACTTAACCTCTCCAACAACCTGTTGTTATGCCCAATCTACACATAGGAAAACTGATGCACAGAAGGGTGAAAGGATGTGTCCAAAGTCACTACTCATAAGCAGAGGATCTGCCATTCAACCTGCTCAACTCCTGATTCACTATTGTTCTTCTTGAGTTAGCTCTTCCAGGCACCATCAGCCCTCACAGCAGAAGTCTGAGAGCCCTGATTCCAAGTTCGGGTTTCAGAGTTGGTAACCCTGAGATGCCTGTGGGGCATCAGGGTTGGCTGGAACCTTGGAGAACGCTGACACTCAGGAAGGAGGGTTCTGCCCCAGAAGTCAAGAGAAGCCAGGAGCTTTATAGATTCTACAGAGGATGAAAAGGGTCAGCATGACCAAAAGCAGCGGGGAGGTGTAGCAAGTTAAGGACTGGAAAGAGAGCACAGAAAGGCCCTGCTAAATTTTACCCCAGCACTTTTAGGAGTGGTGGAAAAGCAGAGTTTGGATTACTGGGAGATGAGAAGGGAAGGTGAGGTTGGGGGTAGAAACTTGGAATCTGGAAAATTCCATGAAGCTTGGCTGTGAAGGAAGGGAGATTGGATCGCAAGGTCTAGAGAAGTATTTATGGTTGTCATTTTTGTTTGTTTGTTTGTTTTTAAAGTATTGGAAAACACACCATGCTTACAGCCTGAGGGACAGGAGGAAGACAGGAGAACCCAAGGAATGCACTTCCTGAACTGATGGGAGGCCCTGGATCCAGAGCAGGGGGGACCACATCTGGAAGGAAGACAGAGGAAATGCAGCAAAAACAGGCAAAGGCAAACCATCTAACTAGGGGCCAAAAAGTGGAGTGAGCTCCCACCTGATGGCCTCTGTTTACTCTGTGCAATAAGATGGAGATCACGTAGGGAGGAGAGCTAGATGTTACAATGACAAGAATTCTTTGAGTAGGTTGCTAAACACAGACATTAAAATAGTGACTATGGTGTCTGGAAATGGCAGCTCGTGCCTGTAATCCTAGCACTTTGGGAGGCCGAGTGGGAGGATCGCTTGAGGCCAGGAGTTCGAGACCAGCCTGGTCAACATCGTGAGACCCCATCTCTAAAAAGAAAAAAAATTTTAAGTTAAAAAAAAAATGGTGGCCATGATGGGAACATTTACACCACTGAAATCAATGACCCACCCCCCTTTTTTCTGAGAGCCAGTCTATCAGTGCACCACTAGGTAAGGGACTTGAATAAAGAGAGGGCTTTGAAAGAGGATGTGCAGAATGAGGGATGCAGTGTGGGAGGACCATGCAGAATGAGTTGGCATCAACAAGGAATCCTGGAAGCACGAGTCCTCCCCCAGCAACGCTCCGTAGTCTGGGCGTAGAGCAGCAAAGACAGATGGCTGGATGGAGCTGAAACCTAGGAGTCTGCAGGATGGATGTGGTGGAGGCAAGGGGCCAAGGAACTGAGATTTGGCCAGTCAGGGGTTTAGGACAGGAGCCCTGGAATCCAGCTGGAATAAGGAAGGAAATGAGGCCAAGAAGGGGGCCAATAAATTGGGAGAAACGGGAGCTGAAGAGACGGAGGTCTTAGGAATCACACGAGGAACAAGAGGTAAAGAATATTGCAATTTTAGCTTTTAGAGGTAGAGCAGCTTCAGATAGTGACAATATTAAGGCTGTGGCCATGGATGTGAGCATTCAAAGCTCAATGGGGGGAGACAGTTATGGAACTTGATCTCTCTACGTGCAATGCTTGTAGCTGTAAGGCCTTGGTGTTGGAAGGGTTGGCCAAGGGGCCACCTGCAGTTGTCTAGAAGTGGGGCAGGTCTTGAGGTAAGACAGAGCTGGTGATGGATGTGTAACTCTGAGAGGCCGAGTGATTTGCCCAAGATCACACCATCTGCAAATGCCTGGACCTCAGGCACCCTGACCTCCCAGCCTCATCTCAGCAAGGTGGAGCCCCCTACCCTGTGAGTTTCTGATTCCAACTCTATCTAGCTCTCAGCTCTTCCACTCAGGGATAAGAACAACACCAGGGACAAAATGTCCTTCCACTCTGAGCATCTTTTGTGGAGAACAATCTGTTTTTCAAATTATCCTTTCCATTATTTCCCTCCACTGAACTTAGAAAAGACTTTTCAAAAGATAATGGTGTTATTGTTGAATCTGGGGAGGGAGGAGGACATCATAATGGTGCTTTGGTTATTTTTTTAAGGAGAGTCCTTTAAAGACGTATACTGAAATATTTACAGATGAAAGGCTGTGCTGTGTTGGATTTACTTCCAAAGTAAATAATTCAGGCCTCGGTGGGGATGGGGGAGAGGCATGCGTGGATGTTTAGAGCCAACAGGATGGACTGAGAGTTGCTAATTGTTGATGAGCACATGGGGTCGCATTCAGCGATTCTGTCTACTGTTGTGTGCACGGTTTGAAATGTTCCATAACACAAGTCTGATGGGGTTGTCAGCAGAAAGCAGCAGCCATCGTGGGCTGCAGGCATCCATGTAAAATATTCAGAGACAGAGAGGCCCCTAGAGGCTATGCTCTATCCTGGCCCCACATCCTGAGAAGGCCCTTGAGAGGCAGGAGCAAGTCTAGAGGAGCCTATGGGAAGGGACTCCATTTTTTTTTTTTTTTAGACAGGGTCTCACTCTGTCACCCAGGCTGAAGTGCAGCGGCACAGTCATGGCTCACTGTAACCTCTTCTTCCCGGGTTCAAGCAATTCTCCCACCTCAGCCTCCAGAGTGGCTGGGACTACAGGCGCACACTACCATGCCTGGCTACGTTTTGCAATTTTTGTAGGGATGGGGTTTCACTGTGTTGCCCAGGCTAAGCTCAAACCCCTGGGCTTAAGTGATCCGCCTGCCTCGGCCTCCCAAAGTGCTGGGATTATAGGTGTGAACCACCACACCCAGTCTGGGACTCCAAATTTTAACTCAATTGTCTCAGCTAAAACTGGGCTGCTCAGCTTGGAGAGGAAAAGCTCTGAGGGGGCCGGAAGAGCTGTTCCCCACAGATAGAGTGGCTGTCCTGGGGGAGGGCCTGTCGTCATAAGTCTGTGGATACCCATCCCTCCTGCTGGCTCTGTCCAGAGGCCTTTGGCCAAGCCTTTCCCCGAGGCTCATCTGCCCTCTCCCAGACCCTAGCCACTCTCCCCTCACACACTTCCCTCAGGCTTAGGCCAGAGGAATGCAGTGTGACCCTGCCAGCCAAGTGGGAGTCTGGCTGCTTTAGAAGTCAGGAACAACCAGAGCCTGCTTCTCTCCACTGGCCTAAAACACCCTGTTCTCTACGTGTCTGTGATGAGGTCTAACTTGGCTCCGAAACCCCTCCAGGGAAAAGGCTGGGCTGAGGTCACTCCCAACATGGCTCAGCACTAATCCTTCACATCTGGACAAAACTGTGCTCTGTGCACCCCGGAGCAACTGTCCATGAGCTCATCGGGGCCTCCACGGAGTGCATCTGAGAGAGCAAGCTTGGAGCAGGGCCTGTCATTGTACTGCCTGCTCCCTCCGCACCAGCGTCCTCACCACAGCGCTGACTTGAACGCATCATGGTAGAAAACATGCTGGAGACCCCTGTTCTCAGCCTGGTTCAGCCACTAATGATTGTGAGATTGTGAGAAAGTTTCTTCTCCTCCCTGAGCCTCTGCTGCCTCCTCCATAAAATGGGGTAGGGTAGGCCCGAGGCCCTGACTCCCCCGTGTAGTGCATCCTTAATTCTTCTCTGTCTTTTGGAGGCTGCAGAGAGGCCTCAAGAGGCCTACAAGAGCTGGGCTCAGTGGTTCACACCTGTAATCCCAGAGCTTTAGGAGGCTGAGGCAGGAGGATCGCTTGAAGCCAGAAGTTTGAGGCCACCCTGGGCAACACAGTGAGATTCTGTTTCTACAAAATAAATAAATAAATAAATAAATAAATAAATAAATAAATAAATAAAAGTAAAAAAATTAGCCTAGATTGGTGGCATATACTTGTAGTCTCAGTTATTTGGAAAACTGAGGCGGGAGAATTGCTTGAGCCCAGGAGTTTGAGACTACAGTCAGCTACGATTGCACCACTGCACTGCAGCCTGGGTGACAGTGAAAGACCCTGTCTTGTAAAAAAAAATAAAAATAAAAATAAAATAGTAGACATGCATATGCATCCACAGGGCTGTCAGTGGCTCAGACAAGGGGAGTGGAAAAGGCTGAAGGATTATAATGACTAACCCTGAGCAGCCAAGGCTGTGGCTCCGCAGGGCTCCCTTCCTTCCTTTCCTCCTGCTCTCCCAGGCCCTGCCAGTTGGGAAATGGACCTCCTTGGATGCTGCGTTGTTTTCTCTGGCCTGGCTCCTGCTTGGGGCCTGATGTGCACCCTGGATGGTGGCCACGGGCGGGGCATCCTGTGCTGGTGAGAACAGGCTGCTGTGGGGCCTGGAGGCCCCAGGGGAGGGCTGGGCTGGGCTGGCTGCCCCAGTTAAAGAGACGTGGCCGCTGGGTCCCATCCTCTGAGGCGGAAGTACCGCTCCTTCTACTTACAGGCCTTACAGGGAGACCTTTTTTATCTGGACCCAAACAGTAAGAAAGTGCCACAGCGCAGATGATTTCTGCATGTTGGGTGATGAGAAATGTTTTCTCAGTGTCTCTGAAAGGTGCTGCTGTATCTTCTGAATTGTCAAAGTCACACTCTGCTTTGAAAAGCAACCCTGGCCATTTGGTGGTTAATTATATTTGACCACATTCAATATAATAGAATAATAAATTTACCACATCCAATATTTGTATTAAAATGTATCATTCATTCAAAATCATCCATGGGTTTTGATTGTTTTTGAAAGCTGCAGAACACTATTCTTCAAGTGATTCTATAAAAAACTCCAAAATATTCTTCAAGCGATTCTATAAAAAACTCCAAAATACGGGCCGGGCGTGGTGGCTCATGGTCTAAAAAGCTATCAGGGATAAAGGTTTCTCTGAGTGCTGCTAAAAGAAACCAAGACTGTGGCCCAGCGCGGTGGCTCATGCCTATAATCCCAGCACTTTGGGAGGCCGAGGCAGGCTGATCACTTGATGTCAGGAGTTCGAGACCAGCCTGGCCAACATGGTGAAACCCACCCCCGCCGTCCCCATCTCTACTAAAAAATGCAAAAATTAGCCTGGCGTGGTGGTGCGCATCTGTAATCCCAGCTACTCAGGAGGCTGAGGCACAGGAATTGCTTGAACCTGGGAGGCAGAGGTTGTGATAAGCCAAGATCACACCACTGCACTCCACCCGGGATGACAAAACAAGACTCTGTCTCAGAAAAAAAAAAAAAAAAAGGAAAAGAAAAGAAAAGAAAGAAAGAAACCAAGGTTGGAAGTCGGACATGCTAGAGATAGCTCTCCATTTATAGAAAATATAAGGGGTGGAGGTATTTAAATGACATCAAAGGGATGCAATTAGCAAAATCTAAAAGTGGGAAACTTTACAGGACAAACTTAGTTTCTTCAACAACAACAAAAATTTAAGTAGGCCGGGCGCGGTGGCTCAAGCCTATAATCCCAGCACTTTGGGAGGCCGAGATGGGTGGATCACGAGGTCAGGAGATCGAGACCATCCTGGCTAACACAGTGAAACCCCATCTCTACTAAAAAAATACAAAAAACTAGCCAGGCGAGGTGGCGGGCACCTGTAGTCCCAGCTACTCGGGAGGCTGAGGCAGGAGAATGGCGTAAACCCAGGAGGCGGAGCTTGCAGTGAGCTGAGATCTGGCCACTGCACCCCAGTCTGGGCACAGAGCAAGACTCCGTCTCAAAAAAAAAAAAAAAAAAAAAAAAAAAATTTTAAGTAAAAAAAAGGGGAGAGAAAACTTACATATTTAAAGAGATCTAACAGACATATTGACCAAATGCAGTGTATGTAAACTTATTTGGATTAAACAAATGAATTGCAAAAAGATTTGACACAATCAATCAAGGACATTTGAACAGTGATTGAATATTTAATGATATTCAGTCACATATGGCTTTTGGAGTGTGATCATGGCATTGCAGTTGTGTTTATTAAAAGAGTGTTTATAGATGAAAATACATGATGCCAGGCCAGGCGCTGTGGCTCACATCTGTAATCCCAACACTTTGGGAGGCCGAGGCGGGGGATCATCTGAGTTTGGGAGTTAGAGACCAGTCTGGCCAACATGGTGAAATCCTGTGTGTACTAAAAATACCAAAAGTAGTCAGGTATGATGGTGCTTGCCTGTAGTCCCAGCTACTTGGGAGGCTGAGGCAGGATAATCAGTTGAACCCAGGAGGCGGAGGTTGCAGTGAGCTGAGATTGCGCCACTGCATTCTAGCATGGGTGACAGAATGAGACACTGTCTCAAAAAAAAAAAAAAAAAAAAGAAAGAAAGGAAAATACACAATGTCTGGATTTCCTTTAAAATAATCCAGGGAGGGGAGAGAGGGTGGAAACTATAAATGAGGTAAAACTGCCCATGAACTGATACTTGTTGAAGTAAGGGTGATAAGTACATTATATGATTCTTTCATATACTATTATTTTGTGGTTTTTTGTATCCAAAAGTTTTCATAATCAAAAGTTAAGATATGTCATCTAAAATCTGAAAGATTATGCACAAAAATGTATGAAATCAGTGTGAAATTACACTAATACATGAATACTTTCTTCCTTTTCTTCTTCTTCTTTTTCTTTTTTTTTTTGAGACAGAGTCTTGCTCTGTCACCCAAGCTGGATTGCCGTGGCTTCATCTCAGCTGACTGCAACCTCCACCTCCCAGGTTCAAGTGATTCTCCTGCCTCAGCCTCCTGAGTAGCTGGGACTACAGGTATGTGCCACCACGCCCGGCTAATTATTGTATTTTTAATAGAGACAGGGTTTCACCCTGTTAGCCAGGCTGGTCTCGATCTCCTGACCTCGTGATCCGCCCGCCTGAGAGGTAGGTGGGGGGAAGAAAGTGAACAGTGAAAGGCAAGAAACCCAGCTAATGAAGTACCCAGACAGCCTCTCCCTTCTGCACAGCTCTCTACCTCCACCCGGTCCCTGATCTCCACCCAAAACAGCTCCCTGGAAACTGGGAGGTGACTTCTTCATCGACTGCAGAACCACCTGAGGCCACCTGGCAGGTGAATAGGTGGCCTTTCTCCTGGGCCCCCCGCCTGGTTCTTTAAGGCTGTGCTGGGCTAGCCTCGGTCACTCACCCTTTGGAGTCTGGCTGGTTATGCAATGTCCTATAAAGCCAGGCCTGAGCCTCCACAGGCCCTCTGAGACGGAGCTGGCCTCCGGGGCGGCCCCACCCAGCAGCTGTGACCTCCCACTCCAGATCCTGGCTCCTTCTCTCTTGCCAGCTCTACTCCGGGCATCAAGCTTCTCTCTCTCTCCTTTTTGGTCTCTCTCCAATCTTTCTCTTTTCTTCAATATCCTCTCTCCCTCCACCCCTTGCCATTTCAATCACTCTTTCTCTTTCCTTCTTCTTCTGTCTCTCAAACTCCTTTTTCTTTCTATCCTAATTCATATTTGTTCAGGGAAAGCCTCTTTCTGTCTCGGCCTCTCCTTTTCCTTTTCACTGTTTATTCTTTCCTCTCTCCGTTATCCCTCTGTTGCTCTACTTCTCTGCCTTTTTCTGAGTCTGTTTCCTCTCAATCTTTCTCTCCATCCCTCCTTCCCTGCATCTGCCTCTCTCTCCATCTCGCTGCTGTGTCCAGCTCTCTCTCTGTGTCGCTCTCTTGCTCATTCCTTCCTCGCCATCTGCGGGTCTCCCCGGCTCCAGGTCCCCTGTCGCGCCCCGTGCCCCACTCACCGGCCAAAGAGCCCGCGGCGCGGAGCAGGGCCAGCCCGGTCAGCGCGCAGAGCAGGGGCCGCATGGTGCCGGCCCGGCCGAGCGCAGCGCCGCGTCTGCCCGCAGCCGCCCTTCCCGGATCGCGCCCGGCCGGCCCGGGAGGAAGTGCTCTCAGTTCGAGCCAAAATTCCTGGGCGGCTCCGGGCTTTCTGGCTCGAGAGAACCCGCCCCCTCCAGAGGCCCCTCTGCATCCCATGGGCAGCGTGGAGACCAGAGACCCCTGGAGCTGAGGCACCGACGTGCCACCTGGGCGCCTCCCGAGGAAGGGGCCGCCCCCTCCCCGAGTCCCCGCGCCTCCTGGGGGCCCGGGGGGTGAGGGGGATTGGGTGAGGTCTTGGACTCAAGGCGACCGAGCCTGGGGTCAGGGGTTTGTTATGAGCCCATTTCACAGGCGGGCAGACTAAGACTCGGAGAGAAGTGTCTTCCTCGGCATGACTCTCAGCCATGACACAGGATCTGAACCCCTGTCTCCCGGGAGTGTGGAAGCTTTTCTCTGTCCACCTACGAGCAACAAATTAATTCTAATTACATGGAACAGTGTCTGCCCCTAAGAAGGAGACCCAGAAACTCACTGCTCTGGTAAGGGAGTGATAGCAATGTGGAAAGGTACTTTTCAAAAAAAAAAAAAAAAAAGGTAAAATCGTGACTCTCGTAAAGATATGAAATTAGCATATACTAAAGATTTTATTTAATGCATTATTAATAAGGGGACAAGTAAGATGGTACAAGCAGCCCAAAGTTTAGAACACAGTAGTGGAAACTTCCCCTATGAGACATGACCATCCAACAAGTGCAACAACAAATTAAGTTTTAGTGAAAACACAAAAGCAAAAAAGCTGCAGCTCTAACTTCTCTGCTGCAGAGCCCTGAGCGCCTTGCCCGGCTGTCAGTGGAACGCTTTCATCACCAAGCCTGGGAGAATGCCTTTGTCCATCCAGGGTCCCCACTGGGGTTGCCTGGAGCCCTTGCAGATCAAGGCTGCCTCTCTGCCTTCTGTGTTCGTGACTGTGGCTATGCAATTGTCCAAAACAGTCACCACGCTAACCAGTGATCCAGTTCTCACTCCCTCCTCCAGAGCAAGATAATAGCCTCAGACAGAGAAATTTTGGTTCTGAACCCGAGAATGTGAGACAGACTCAGATCTAAATCTTTTAAAAGCCTTGGAGGAGATTATGATGCCCACATGAACTGGCTCAGAAGAAGAATTTATTTCAGGAACGCCAAGAATTTCTCACGCTTGGTGGTAGGACATTCCTTGATAGTTTAGCCAGCTGGGAAGTTGTCAAAGAACTGCCAAACCCATAAGGATTCTTGTAACTCAGAGCCAGTGGGCTACCTTATATTTTGAATTTAAGATTAAGAAAACACACACACACACACACACAAAACATATACAATACATTATTGTTGTGGTAGAGCATAAAGTAACTGAGTATACAGAGTAAAACATGAAAGTCTTTTAAGAATTCCCTCTGTCCAACCATTCAGGTCCAGTTCCTTTCACTTGGTAGGCTCTGCGTGTTCCAAGTCTATGCATTCCCCATCTATCTAATGTATAGTCAGACACAAATGTATATACATGAGTTCAAGTCATAGATATTTTGAAGATTTGCTTTCATTCATGTTTATCTCAGTCATAACATTAAATCTTGGCTGGGTGCAGTGGCTCACGCCTGTAATCCCAGCACTTTGGTGGGCCGAGGTGGGTGGATCACCTGAGGTCAGGAATTTGAGATGAGCCTGGCCAACATGGTGAAACTCCGTCTCTGCTAAAAATACAAAAAATTAGCAGGGCGTGGTGTTGGGGGCCTGTAGTCCCAGCTACTCAGGAGGCTGAGACAGGAGAATCAGAATCCAGAAGGCAGAAGTGGCAGTGAGCCAAGATTGCACCAGTGCACTCCAGCCTGGGCAACAGAGCAAGACTCCGTCTTAAAAATAATAATAATAATAATAATAATAATAATATTGGAGATCAATCTATGTGAGTACAGATAAATCCACTTCATTCCTTTTAAGAGTTACAAAATAGCCGGGCGCGGTGGCTCAAGCCTGTAATCCCAGCACTTTGGGAGGCCGAGACGGGCGGATCACGAGGTCAGGAGATCGAGACCATTCTGGCTAATACGGTGAAACCCCGTCTCTACTACAAAATACAAAAAACTAGCCAGGCGAGGTGGCAGGCGCCTGTAGTCCCAGCTACTCGGGAGGCTGAGGCAGGAGAATGGCGTAAACCTGGGAGTCGGAGCTTGCAGTGAGCTGAGATCATGCCACTGCACTCCAGCCTGGACGACAGAGCGAGACTCCGTCTCAAAAAAAAAAAAAAAAGTTACAAAATATCCCATGAATGGATACAAGCAGCATTATTTATCAAAACAGTCCCCTATTGACGGACATGTAGATTACTTCCTTTTTCTCTCCAATATAAAATAAGCTTTAATAAACATACTTTTGCATATATCTTTATGTACAAAGTACATATTCATGTATTTCTGAAAGGCTGGAAGAGGAATCATTGCATCAAAGGACTTTTTACATTTTGCCAGGTAGGCCAAAAATTGTTCCCCAAATTGTCACAAAGCCCACAGGAGGGACAGGGGTCTTCCAGCGCTGTTCCAAGGTGCACCTGAGTATATGTTAGTCTAGGTAGGAATTGGGCTGCAGGGGGCGCCATTTACATAAAATACTTCTGGATTGGCGATACCTGAAGTGTAAACCTAGTGGTCACCTACATTCTCCAACACTGGATATTTATTATTTAAAATTTTGACAGCTTGATGACGGAAAATGTTACCTTGTTATTATTTTTATTTACATGCTATTTATTATGAGTGAGGTTAAGCTTTATTTGCCTCTTTGATCACTTTTTTCTATTTTCCTCCCTTTCCTTGATATGCTCTGATTATTAATGCAGTGCCTGTTACATATGTTGGCAATGTCTTCTTCCAGCCTTCCATTATCTTTAAGTGTCTTGGTGGTGTCTTTCAGCATTCAGAAGTTTTGAATATTAGATAGCCAAATCTCTCAATGTTTTCTTTTATGGCTTATAGAGTTTACAACTTACTTATGATTCCTCGAATCAAGGCTGTGAAGATATTTCTCTATGTTTCCTTCAAATCGTTTTAAGGTTTTCTCAAGGTCTAATGTCTAATCAATCTAGAATTTTTATGTGGTTGCAAGGAAGGAATCAAACTTAAATTTCTCCCTAAATGAGTATCCAAATGTCCTAATGCTCTTTATCACCTAGTCCATCCTTTTACCACTACTTTGAACATAAAGTAGTTTGCTAGCTACTCACTTCCAAGGGGAGTTCTGGGAAAATCTCTCTGCATCATGTCTGTCACAAGGTCAAGGAAACAAAAATGCAAAATAGACATATAATTTCAATAAATCCTGAAACCATATTTGATTAAATTAAACAGGCCTCCCTAACTTAAAAACAGTAATAACAACAAACTCAGGATAAAAATAAAGGAAATAATGGGACATTTCCTTAACAAGATAACTCTTTTTAATTTTTATATTTATAGCTTTTCAAATTAAAAAAAATAAAAATAGAGATGAGGGGTCTTGCTGTGTTGCCCAGGCTGGTCTCAAACACCTGGGCTCAAGTGATCCTCGCCTCAGCTTCCCAAAGTGCTGGGATTACAAGAATGAGCCACCATGCCCGGCCAACGACTTTTATCTTAAATAGTTAATATGTACATACCAGAGAAAGGAGAAATGTATTCTTTATTAAATCAGGAATGAGGTAAAGATGCCATTATTGGCCAGCCATGGTGGCTCATGCCTATAATCCCAGCTTTGGGAGGCCAAGGTTGGAGGATCACTTGAGCCCACGAGTTCGAAACCAGCCTTGGCAACACAGCATGACTCCACCTCTACTACAAATTAAAAAAAACACACACACACACATTAGCTGGGCGTTGTGGCACGTACCTATTACTGGGGAGGCTGAAGCAGGAAGATCGCTTAAGCCTAGTAGTTTAAGGCTGCAGTGAGCTATGATCACACTACTGCACCCCAGCCTGGGTAACAGAGTGAGACACTGTTCTAAAAAATAATAATAATTTAAAAATTTTAAATTAAATTTAAAAATTAAAAAAATAAAAAAAGATGCCATTATCAACAAGTGTTTGGCTGGGCATGGTGGCTCACGCCTGTAATCCCAGCACTTTGCGAGACAGAGGCAGGTGGATCACTTAAGGTCAGGAGTTCAAGACCAGCCTGGTCAACATGGAACCCTGTCTCCACTAAAAATGCAAAAATTAGCCCGGCGTGGTAGCACATGCCTATAATCCCAGCTACTAGGGAGGCTCAGGCAGAATTTCTTGAACCCAGGAGGCAGAGGTTTCAGTGAGCTGAGATCGTGCCATTGCACTCCAGCCTTGGCGACAGAGTGAGACTTTGTCTAAAAAAAAAAAAAAAAAAAAAAATTTAAGATAAGTGTTGGAAATCAATTTATTTCCGTATACCAACAGAAACCAGCCCAAACATGTAAAAGAAAACTCCTGGGCAAAATGATACTATGGAGCCAGTGGACCCAGTTAACAAACCTCCTCCTTCTAATATTCTCGAAAGTGACCAGTGAAATTAAAGATAGGGGAGACTGGCATCAGTGGCAGGAACTAGAGAAATATGCCAACCATATGCCAGGCCTCAAAGCAAGGTGGTTAGCCAGTTGGATCTAATCATACCTCTTATTATTTATTATTATTCTATTATTTGCTAAACTTCTCTGAATCTGGTATTGTGCTAAGGCTATATATGCATTATCCTATTTAATCCTTGCATCAGTAAACCTATCAAGTAGAGATCCTTATCCCCATTAAAAAGAATAAGATCTATTAAATATATCTGATTCAAGGGTAGAGGGTGACTGATCCCAGTTTGAAAGCTAGGTAGATCTGATTCCAAAGTCCTCAGCCTGATCAGGCCTCTTGACTCTCAAGTCCCAGGAAAGGCACTAAATAGAGAATCTGAAGAAGAGTGGAGGTAAGAAAGGGACAAATGGGATATGGGGGGTGCAGAGTGGCAAGCCCCGTGCAGTTAGGGGAGAACGCTCATAACCACCTGCATGAATGAAGTGCCCTAATGTGCAGACATTTCTTTTTCACTTAATTCTTCCATGACTCTGGCAGGTAGCCTCACAATCCACGCAGATTGTGACGGTACCTGCCAGGGCCATGGAAGCATACAGAATGCGAGGCTTGGAGAAGTTAGGAGGTGGCCCAGGGCACACAGAGACTAGTTAGGGATTTGGGGATTTGCCTCCCAGGCGCCTGTGCTGCCTCCACAGGCAACACTACAGGATATGCTCAGGTCCTCCCAGCTTGACTGGGCCGGGGCACAAGTGGTGGGAAATCTGGCAGGGGCTTTCTCGCCCAACCCATACCCAAAGGGAATGGGCCAAAGGAAACAGGAAATAGGGGCTGGTCA